GTGTGTTGTACTTATGGCTGCTCTTTCCAGTACACAAAGTTAGCAACTTGACCAAATGTGTAAACTTTTATAACAAAGGACACTTAAAAATTATAGAATGATGTTTGGGGCACCTGGGTGGCTCAGTTGGTTAAGCATCTGCCTTCGGCTCAGGTCATGATCTCAGGGTCCTGGGATCGAGTCCCACATCGGGCTCCCTGCTCCTTGGGAGCCTGCTTCTCCCTCTGCCTCTCTCTGTCTCTCATGAATAAATAAATAAAATCTAAAAAAAAAAAAAAATAGGTTTAAAAAAAAGTATAGAATGATGTTTATCAGAGATGAGAAAAAAATTTTATTTTACGTTTTCAATGTAGTAATACAGTTCAAATGTGATTATAAGAACAGAAATGGTATCAGCCTGGGTTCAACTGCAGGAACAGAAACCACTCTATTTTAGCAGAAGATATTTCCCACAGGGAGTTAGGTGCTTACAAAGCTGAAGGTTGGACAAACAAGCTCTGGACTGGGCCTCTAGGAATAACTCTGAGAACGACACTGCTGAACTAAGCGTCCTTCCAGGAAAACTCATCCTGTGTCATAATAAGAAAGGGGAGCCATCAGAAGACTGCCATTGAATTACTCTTGCTTTGATCCAGGGATCAGTAAGTGGCCGAAACTGCCTCCTGACACCTGTAAAGCTGGGGATAAGACATCAGAGCATGGCTGTCTCAAAATTTAACAGCTGAAGATGCAGGAAGATGCTCTCCAACACACTTCTACCTTTGAAATCTAAAACTAGCACATGGAATTGACATAACCTAATTTTACCTGGAAGGAGACCTGCAAGGGATGCTGAGAATTACAGTGTTTAGCTTCCAGGCTCTGTCGTACAGGAAATCACTTTAGAAGGAATTTGGGGATTGAGTGCCAACAGAAGATCTCTACCACAGAGCACATTATGAAACAATGTAGCATGGAGTTCCTACAGCAGTGAGGCAGACCACAGTCAGGGTCCCACTGGCAAACCACCACCTGGGTAACTAACTGAACTACAGCCTCCAGCCCTTAGTGGAATGTTGTCCAACACACCCCATTGGAATTGCTACAGAAACAGAAACCAAGAGAGAAAAAGCTTGGCTTGTAAATCTTCTTAAACATGTCTAAATTACTTCTTGTTAAAAGCCTGTTCATCTCCAGGGGTTACATACTGGCAACAGACATATGCTAGCTGCCTGATTAAACATGTTTTAAGGCCAAAAAAAACTGACAAGAATTAGCTATGTTCTTGTCTGTGTGTCAACAGAGACTGGAAAATAATTCAGTATAATAACATGAGAAAAATGCTTATGATACAATATTAATTTTAAAGGCATGCAGAATCACATAGAGTATGATCACAATATATCATAAAACAATGAAATCTTACCAGTAATCAAAGAGTAACAAGATAGGGCGCCTGGGTGGCTCAGTTGGTTAAGCGACTGCCTTCGGCTCAGGTCATGATCCTGGAGTCCCAGGATCGAGTCCCGCATCGGGCTCCCTGCTTGGCAGGGAGCCTGCTTCTCCCTCAGACCCTCCCCCCTCTCATGTGCTCTCTGTCTCTCTCATTCTCTCTGTCTCAAATAAATAAATAAAATCTTAAAAAAAAAAAAAAAAAGAGTAACAAGATACACTTACCCATCAGCTTGGCAAAAATTGAAGAGACAAATAATATCTAGTTTAGTGATTGTGGGAGGAGATAGGTAGTCTTACACAATTTAGATTTGAGTGTAAATTGGTTCAGCAGTAGCTATTAAATATGCACACCCTTTAAATTAAAAAAAATTTAAAAATAAAATAAAAAAGAGGAAAAAAAATAAATATGCACACCCTTGAAGATAGTAATATGTAACACGTAGGTATCGGAGAAAAATGTTCCCCCATGTACAAATAGACAAGTACTAAGAATGTGTATGGTCACAGTGTTTATTCTAGCAAAAGCCTAAAAGCAACCTACCTGGCCATCAAATACAGAGATAATTTATCTAAGTAAATTATAGATATTCATATAATGGAGTATTAGGTTGTTTTTAATATGGATGAGATAAACATCTATGTACTATATTTTCTGTTATGAAGAATAATATAATAATGTATTATTAAATTTAAAATCAATTGCATAAAATATTAAACCAAAATTTGATAATTTAAATCCATTTTACCTTATTAAGAATAAGATACACCAGGTGATCCCTTAATAAGGTAAAATGAATTTTAGTTCTCACATTTTGTTTATTCTTGTATAAAGTGAAACAGACTATGAATAAAAATGTGATCACTTCCTGTAATAACTTTTCCATGAGATCATTTTTGCTGTTTGCTTTAAATTTAAGCACTTACAGCTCATGAGCTCCTGTTGGGCTTCCAACAGTTCATTATGATTTTTTAAATTGTTCTGTGATCAAATATATTGAGGAAACCAGGGTGCAGTGTATGATAAGCCAGTTGAGGAGAGTGGTTCTCAAAGGGAAGCATGGACAGTAGTATCAGATCCTGGAGAGGTCAAAGAGAATGAAAAAAAGAGCGGTGGATGTTAGTGACTTTTATATTTACAAACATTTGCTTAAGAATTTTAAAGCACGTAAAACCTAAATCACACTATTCCCAAAGATGGAAATGTCAGCAATATTACTCCTCCTCTATAGAAAAGATTCCTTCAAAATAACTGTATACAATAAAACTCTCTGATTTTTCATTTTTTGTTTTTGTCACCAAATAAATTTAGAAGATTATGTTTCCCTTTCTCAAAACTATGGATCTATGACAAGGGTATCAGTAACTATAATATATAGCTTAAAAAAAAAAAAAAGCTGAACAGGCATAAAAAGCATATGAATCATGACACACACATTCAAGAATTAAAATCACCTCAATAAATATATTTTTTGTGTTAAAAGTAAATTGTAGCGTGCAAGAGTAAGGAGTTTGAAAATAAGGGATCTAGGTTTTGACTGGGGCCCCAACACTTACTAATAGTGAGATTTTCAATAAGTTATTTATCTGAATTGCTACGAAGAGTAAATCAGTTTACAAAATGTGAATTTTAGGGGCTCCTGCGTGGCTCAGTTGGTTAAGCGACTGCCTTCAGCTCAGGTCATGATCCTGGAGTCCCTGGATCGAGTCCCGCATCGGGCTCCCTGCTTGGCAGGGAGTCTGCTTCGTCCTCTGACCCTATCCCCTCTCATGTGTTCTCTCTCTCTCATTCTCTCTCTCTCAAATAAATAAATAAAATCTTTAAAAAAAAAAAGTGAATTTTAAAAACATAACACAATGCTGCTGTGATTTCATGTCATGAATTTGCCAATGTTATGAGAACTGGATTGTAAGGGGGAAAGAGAGGAGGCATTAATAATAGGAGCTCTCACTTACTGAACTTTTACCATGATCCAAATACTCTACTAAGGTGTTTTGGTAAGCTAATTCCTCAATCCTCCTCAATGTGGTAGATACTATATCAGGTGGAACCTAGCCATTTCTGTAGGTCAAAAATGGTCAATTATCAGCAATTTCGTATGGTTTAAACTATCATCTGGCCCAGATTGGAGAAAGTGAAACAGACTAAGTGACCTAAGGTACAATAGCCAGTAGCTGGTAAAGTCAGGTTTTCAAGCCACACAGCTTTATGTCCATGACCAATATGCTATATAAATTCCCAGCAAGAAAGCAGGTCTAATACTTTAGGAGGTACAACCTCTAATTTTTTATGAAAGATTTTATTTATTTATTTGACAGAGAGAGAGACAGCGAGAGAGGGAACACAAGTAGGGGGAGTAGGAGAGGGAAAAGCAGGCTTCCCGCTGAGCAGGGAGCCCCATCCATGTGGGGCTCGATCCCATGACCTGAGCGGAGGACAGACGCTTAACTACTGAGCCACTCAGGCGCCCCCAACCTCTAAGTTTTAATCACGAATTATTTCCGTGGTATTAGAGAATATACAAGTCAAAACAATAATGCCACAGAAAATTCAGCATAAGGATCAAATATTTACATTAATTAAAATATCCCATGCTTGTTCCTGCTTCTGGCATACCCTTCTCTTCAAAGAATTCTTACCTTCATTCAGCCAACAAATATTCACTCAAAATCAGGCTCAATCTCTAACCACCTACTAGAAGGAGCTTCTTTTCCACTTCACCCTGAATTCTTACCAACTGGAATTTATCCTTTATAATAGCGTTTTGCCTTTTAATATATCTGAATTCTTTTAACAAAGGTAAAAGCTTCTTGAGGAAAGCTCAATAAATGTTCAATCTGAGATTCATACCAATCTACCATACATGAAATTTAATAGGAGTAAAGAATCACAACCATCTCTAAGGGAATGGCTGATAAAATCTTCCCTGATCTCACCGGATGAAGTGTTCTCTTTAATCTGAACTCATTCGGAAACTGCCCCAAGATACTCTTTCATATGCTTAGGTCTTATCTTTGGAACTAGAGTATTAGCTTCTCAAAGGCAAAGATTAAGTCTTACTCATTGACTTCACACACTGTCCAGCAAATAGCGTAAGTCCTGTAATCAATGAACATGGAGAAAAACGCGCAGTTCGGAGGGAGTGGGGGGAGAAAGACCTTGAGAAAGAAAATGAAGAGGGTATAAAAGCAATGAAGGGGCACTTTGCCTTAACACCCGCTTTTGAGAACTAAGAGCAGCTGGTATTTCAAAGCCTTGGTAGCGGCCTTTCGCTGTCTTTTTAAAGAAGCGTGGAAGGACATCAGCAGCGCGACCGCCCATTGGCTGGGAGGCGAGACCGCGAGCGCAGCCGGCGGCGCTAGGCGGAGGGGGCCCGGGCCGGCGCGCCGTCCTCTGGCCGGCAGGGGGCGCCCTCCCGGGCGCCGGGTCCCACGCCGCCCCGCCCCGCGCGTCCCGCGCGCTCTCCGCCGCGCGCCCGCCCGCCGCCCGGCGCCACGCCCTCCACAGGCCAAGGGCCAGTCACCCGCGGGCGGGCGTCCCGCAGCTCCCTCGCCGCCCCGCCCCGCCCGGCCCCGCCGCGGGACGGGTAACGGTTACCAAGCACTTTCTCAGCCGCGATTTCTGCTTAGTCATTGTCTTCCAGGAAACGGTCCCTTCAGTTGGGAGTCAACTCTCCGGCGGCGGCCGCAGTAGCAGCAGCAGCCGCCGCGGCCAGCGCGTCCTTCCCGGGCCGCAGCTCCGTCAGTCCGGCCTCCCGAGGTCACGAGCGCAGGCCGAGGTCCCGCCGCGTGGGGCGGCCAGCCTCGCGCTCGGCTCTCCCGCCTCGGGCACCGCGTCCTGCAGGGCGGCCTCCTTCCTCGCCTGCGGCCCCGTCGCCGCCTGGCCCCCCTCCGGCGGCCGCTGCCATGGGCACCGACAGCCGCGCGGCCGGGGCGCTGCTGGCACGGGCCCGCACCCTGCACCTGCAGACCGGGAACCTGCTGAACTGGGGTCGCCTGCGGAAGAAGTGCCCGTCCACGCACAGCGAGGAGGTGAGAGACGCGGGGCTCCCGGGGCAGGCCGCGGGGCGGGAGGCTCCCAAAGGGAAGCAGCGCCCGGAGGGACGGGCGGGCGGGCGGGCGGGCTCGGGGCGCGGGTGAGGCGCGCACCTGGGCTCCGCCGGCGCGGGAAGGCTGGGGCCGCTGGGGCCGCGACGTCGCCTCCAAACCTGCAGCTGCGGGCCGCGCGCCTTCAAACACTTGGCAGGTGCAGCTTCATCCCGAGGGACGCCTCCGTCAGTGCTCCCGGCCGACAGCCGACCTCTCGAACGCACTGGACCCCTCTTCGTTGCGGGGGCCGGGGGGGTGCAGAGAAGACCAGCACCTCCCTCCCAGCCTCCCCCAGCCTCTGGCCCCCCTCCCCCCCACGCCGCGGCCAGGTGAAGACATAGTTTAGTGAGAGGTTCGCTTTTCCAGGGCTCAGGTGAAGGTAGCAGTAATAATTCACTTAGCTCTGAGGCTGTTGACAGTAGGTTCTCTGTTGCTGTGAGGCGCAGGACTCCACGCTCGAATTCGGCTTTGGAATAAGGTATGCGTTCTTCTTGCTGAAGATTAATCTGCCTCAGTGTATTTGCCTAGTTTGAGGTGGCAGAGATTAATCTGGAATTATCCATGTGATACATACTCGGTCCTCAGCTGGTCGTTCCTGAGTGGAGAGTCAGGGTGCCCAGGGAATTGCGGAGGCATAGAGGCGGTGTAAGACGGTTTGGGTGCTGAAAAATAACAGTGAGCAAAAACAAACCTTTAATTTAGGAGCCGTGTGACTTTGGGGAAGTTACCTTCTCTGAGTCTGTTTATACAGCTTTGAAGCTGAGTAATGATAACGGTCTTCATCAGCTCACTGTGCGGATTGAAAGAGATAATATAGGACAACGCTCACCATGGAGGCATTTATCTCCCTTTTTATCAAGATTTGATTTGATTTTATTTTTTTAAAGAATTTGTCTATTTGATCGAGCACAAGTAGGCAGAGCGGCAAGCAGAGGGAGAGGGAGAAGCAGGCTTCCCGCTGAGCAGGAAGCCCGATGCGATGCGGGGCTGGATCCCAGGACCCTGGGATCATGACCTGAGCCGAAGGCAGCCGCTTAATGACTGAGCCACCCAGGCGCCCCTTTTTATCAAAGATTTTAAACAAATCTTGATTAAAAGAGGGGCGCCTGGGTGGCTCAGTTGGTTAAGCGACTGCCTTTGGCTCAGCTCATGATCCTGGAGTCCCTGGATCGAGTCCCGCATCGGGCTCCCTGCTCAGCAAGGAGCCTGCTTCTCCCTCTAACCCTCCCCCCTCTCATGTACTCTCTCTCTCTCATTCTCGCTCTCTCAAATAAATAAATAAATCTTTAAAAAAAAAATCTTGATTAAAAGAAAAACTGTCTTATGCCATATTATGATATCAGCTGTACTCCTAGGCAGTTTTTGCTCTTTTATATAAGATGTTGATGGTAAACTATGCAGGAGCACATGACGTCCCTCTGAGTATGCTCTGGGCCTGTGAGCACCCATCAGATGAGAACTCTTAGTTGTAACTTTAATAGGAACCAAAACCTTTACCATATTCTGTGACCAGGTTCCATCCATCTCAGTTTGTATACCTTTTTTGTTTAAACCACCCCACGTAGACTGTTTCTCCCCCAAATAAATATTTCTGTGTTTAGTTCTATTCTTTCAATTTCCTCCCAGAGCTGCTGGGTTCAGTACACCATTTTCCCTATATATTGACAATATTGGGTGAAATTTTTGCTCTCTTGTTTCACTACAACGCACTTTAAAGTAGTGGCCTTCGAAGTGTTTTGACTTTGGCAAACTCAGTACGAAATTTTACCTTGCAGTCTAGTTCATAGTCCATAAGGACAGAAAGTAGGATGAGTGGTTGCCTTGGGCTGGGGTAAGAATGGGTAGTGACGGCTAGTGGGCACATGAAGATGTTCTAAAATTGGATTGTGGTGATGGCTGCAGAGCTCTGTAGACTCTTTACAAAAAACTCTCTAAAAAGCATCGAATTGTGCACTTAAAATAAGTGAATTTTGTGTATAAATTATACTTCAATAAAGCTGTTAAAATATATCTCAAAGGTTTAATGGAGATATTAACCTTTAGTATATACTGTGTATTATGATTTTTTCTATCCTATTTTAATTTTTAAAAACTATTTCTTAATGTAACGAGTCACATTCCACAGTTTGAAAAACATTGTTCAAAGGACTAATTCTAGTTTGTTGGGGGGGGGGCTGCTACATAAGAGGGACAAAATAAGCTAGAAAACATTTGAGGAAAACTTGAAAATAGGGCAGCATATTGTAGGAAAATAGGACAGTGTAGTTAAGGAGAGATATGTTTTGTTTCCCTGTAAAACAAAACAAAACAAAACTTTGTAACAAACAGAGCTCCAAATTGGGATATGCTACTTGAAATGGTTTAGCCTTGTAGAATAAAGAAACTGAAAAAATCACTCATTATTAAGAAAATTTACACATTAAGTAGGGAGTTAGTTTACCTAAAAGGTCTCTTCTAGTACTAATGTGTATGTTTTTTTAAAATTCCATTATCTTTTAAAAAAATTTTTTCACTAGAACTTTATGAAATCAAATCTTGTTTTTTAAATGAGCCATTATAGGACTGTTTTGCTCAGTTCTTTGTTGTAAGAGTATTTGGCCAGATGAATCATGTAGTATATTTAAAACTCTTATATGGCTCCAGATCTAATGATACACTACATTATGATGATACTTACTTCAGTGATCCTATGTGTATATGATAAAATGAAGAGAACTGAGAACAAAATACAAGGTTAATGTTCAGTCAATATAGATAATATATAAAAGATTAGAAATCATTAGGCTTGTGATACAGTCAATGAATTTCTCATTGTAACATTGACTGTTCTGTGATTTGTCCTGACATTTTGCAGAATCTGATATTAATTAAGTGATTTCAAGAAGGGGGTGAATACTCTGAAAATATACTTACCTTCCAGAATTGGACTTTTTATCAGGAAAGCTTTAGGTACGCAAGTGAGCCATCCTTCCAGAGGAAAAAAATTTTTTTTTAAGATTTAATTTATTTATTTGACAGAGAGAGACACAGCAAGAGAGGGAACACAAACAGGGGGAGCGGCGGAGGGAGAAGCAGGCTCCCTGCCAAGCAGGGAGCCCGATGTGAGGCTTGATCCCAGGACCCTGGGACCACAACCCGAGCCTAAGGCAGTCGCCCAACAACTGAGCCACCCAGGCACCCCCAGAGGAAAATTTCTTAAAATTCTCCCATGATTTGAGCCAAAGCACTCTTGATAGAATTGTTAACTTTGAGTCCTGCTGCCCCAACTTTTACCATTTTTGAAAAGAATATTGACTTGTAATTCTGTCTGGAATAATTATCAACTAATTTTTATTTAATATTTTAAATTTGATTATAAATATATTTTCCATGAAGATAGAGACCTTGTAGATTGAATTCATGTGGATTATTGTGGACAGCACATAAGTTTTTGTTGTGGCTTATGAAGCTTAATGTAGATGACTCTGAGCTCTTAAATTGATAAACCAGTTGTCCCTTGTAATTATCTGTAGTAAGATAAAAGCAGTAAAGTGCTGTCAGTTTTTATCATAAGCAATCATAGATCAGTGAGTTCAGAAGTTTAGTCTGTGTTATTGCTATTAGGAAAGTGCTTTTGCAGTTTAGGGACTTGATCCCAGTTACTCATTTATTTTTTCATTGATTGCCCACAGAATGCAAAGCACTGTGTCCTTGGATGTTTATAAGGTAATGATTTCAAATTGCTAGTGTTGCCCATTAGTGGTCATAAGTCAGTTTGGTGAGCCATAGAACAGCATGTTTTTTTTCCTAATTAATAGAAGCCCTCAGAGTGCCTAGCATGTAGTGAACATACCATTTTATAAATTTTTTGTTCTATTTATTTAGGTCCTTACTCTATATGTGAATGTATGTAGGTCTTTGGAGCTCTATCAGACAAGTTTGAAATACACCAACATAAGGGATGAAAGATGCATGAACAGTTTAATGGATTTACAACATACTATAATGTTAGTGTAAACAAGTTTTATTTGTTTGTATAAGAAAACATTGAAGACCGGTTGAAGGTATACCTAAGTGGTAGGAAATGACATATGGGCTGATACTATGCAAGTTGACCTATGTAAGATAGGATTGTGGTAGTTCTCAGACTTTACATGTTGATTTCTTGGGATGCTTGTTAAAATGCAAGTTCTGCTGCCCTTAGAGTGATTCAGCAGGTCTAGGATGGTATCAGGAACTGGAATTTTTTTTTTTTTTTTTAAGATTTTATTTATTTATTTTAGAGACAGAGCACAAGAGGGGGGGAGCAGGAGAGGGAGAAGCAGACTCCCTGCTGAGCAGGGAGCCCGATGCAGGACTCGATCCTGGAACTCCAGGATCATGACCTGAGCCGAAGGCAGTTGCTTAACCAACTGAGCCACCCAGGCGCCCCAGGAACTGGAATTTTTAATGAACACCACAGGTGAATAATGGAGTTCCTCTGGCCATACTTAGACAATCATTTATTTGTCTTTGAGGATTATCTCACAGTGGTTAATACTAATTTTAGTCAGGCTCCCTGGGCTTGAACTCACGTTCCTCTATTTATAAACCTTATTCTTGAAAAATTTTGTTTCTTTGTGAATGCTTTTATGTCTCAAAGGCTTACTTAAACTTTCATTGGTACAAAGACACTTTAAAAATAGATTACTGTATTACATCAACATTTGAAGATTAAGATAAAAACCGATCTAGGGGTGCCTGGGTGGCTCAGATGGTTAAGCGTCTGGCTTCAGCTCGGGTCATGATCCCAGGGTCCTGGGATCGAGTCCCACATCGGGCTCTCTGCTGGGCCGGGAGCCTGCTTCTCCCTCTGCCTCTGCCTCGCTCTCTCTCTCTCTCTCTCTGACTCTCATAATAAATAAAACATTTTATATAAAAAAAGATAAAAACAGATCTAAACTTTGTTGAAGAAAACAAAAACCTTGTAGAACTAAAATTTTGGTTTTTATGGTTTTTCCTATTCACATCTTCTTTTTCCAACTTATCAAACTAATATATTCTTATTGTAGAAGTACGGAAAGTGTATAGAGTTTGATTAACAGTTTCAAAATGCATTCCTTTTACAGCTTCGAGATTGTATCCAAAAGACCTTGAATGAGTGGAGCTCCCAAATCAGCCCTGATTTGGTCAGGGTGAGTAAAATGTGGATGAAGAAATCATGTAGGTCAAAAGGGAAGTGCAGTAAGCAGGAAATTAATTTCCCCAGTTTTGACAGGGAAATCAAATAGGCAATTAGCACAAAATTCCCTGTGGCTGATTTACTGAGATGGCTGTCTGACCCAGTATGCTTAAGCATAAAACGGAAAATCCAGGATGTGTCACCAACTCTTCAACTAGACTAGATACCAGGATTCTCGGTGCTTAATTCCCATCACACTTTCTTCACTGTGTTCCAGTTTATATTTGGTCTAATAAAGAAATGACTATTTAACAGTTTTGGTTGTTAAATTGCTGTGGTAGAGTATCATAATAATATAGGCACTAGAAATAATTTTTTTAATGTCAGTTTCGAGGGAAACACTGGGTGTTTCATTAAATGTTAATAAATGACTTATCATAAATGTTAATATACAGACCACCTGTCTGCAAACCACTCTTTGGAATCCAACTCAGCCAAAGGCTCATAACAAATTACATCGACTACTTTAAAACTATGGACGAGGACATGTGCTGGAAACAGTTGTTGCCGTGGGCATTCTGCAAGTTTAAACTCCATAGCTGCTAGGCAGATGTTGATTAATGTCTTCTATCAGTCTCTGTTTCTCTGAAATGACCATTTGCCTCTATTTATGCATGACTGACAAACACTAAGCCCTTGATATGTGCCAGGCATTGTAATATGCTCAAGAATTGTGGGAAAGGCCTCACTGTTTACTGTTTTAATCTTGTAAATGTGAGTTAATGTATTTCTGATTTATATATACTAACATCTTACCATTTTCCTCATAAATTATTAATTATAATGCATTAGAATTGCCTTTACTTTTTTATTGCACTCAGAAAAAAAGTCTTGGTTTAGAATGTTTGTGATTAATATAGGAAGCTTTTAACATGTCCTTATGCAGAATGGGTAAATATTTTCATTGGTTTTGTTTTTAAGTAAAATTATGTACTATGTTAGTGGTTATAACTCCTCACCTGCTGCCCCCACCATCACCATTTGTTTGCATTCCTCTGAGTACCTGATCAAAATGGATCCTTTTCCCCAGAAAATGGATACACAGCATTTTACCTTTGTTTCAGGGCTTACAAACCTTTTGAAGCCCATCCAGACATCAGGTAAAGAACCCTATCTTATGGGTTCTCTGTTTCTAAAGGGCATTATGGACAATACAAAACATATAGCTAATTAAAAACATTAGCTTTATATTTACTGTAAACATTGTTTGTTATAGGAATTTCCAGATGTCTTGGAATGTACCGTATCTCATGCAGTAGAAAAGATAAATCCTGATGAAAGAGAAGAAATGAAAGTTTCTGGTAAAGTCCAGCCTTTACAGTTTATTTTGTTATACAGTGGAAATGATAGTGAGGTTTTGTCAGGCAGGGAGAATAAGCCTTTCTTTGCTTCTGGTAATGAGTGACTCAGTCACTAAGTGTGAGAAATAGAAAGATTCTTTTTTTTTTTAAGATTTTATTTATTTATTTGAGATAGAGAGTGAGTGAGCAAGAGAGAGAGAGCACAAGTGGAGAGGAGAGGGAGAAGCAGGCTCCCCGCTGAGCAGGGAGCCTGACGTGGAGCTCCATCCCAGGACCCTGGGAAGGCAGACACTTAACCAACTGAGCCACCCAGGCATCCCTAAAGATTCTTTTTAAACATAATATAAACTCCCAAGAGGAGGTTATAGGAGGTCAGTTTTGGCTTCTTAATGGAGTCAGAAGAGGACTTCACCTTCCTTTTCTTCATGATGGTCTCATTAATTTATATGTCGGACTTCAGGAATATTAAGATGGAGGAAATGGAAAGAATAAAGGGAAGGCTTAAGAGCAGTGTCTATCCAAAGCAAGCATAGGCCCTCCCTTCCTGGTGGAACACTGCTGAGCAATGGCTGAAGTCACCTGGAAGTGTAGACCAAAGTCTGGGCAACAAGTTGCACGAAGAGAAATAAAATCCATGATATACCCCTTCAACAAATGTATCAAGTCACTATTTACCAGAGACCATGCAACCTCAAGGAATGAAAAAATAAAGAGACGGGCTGTTCTTGCCCTCAGCTTACTGTCAGCATAGCATAGTCATTAAAAGCTTGAACTTAACTAGATCAGAATTCCTCAGTATGCAGAGTAGTGACTGGTATAATCTTGGACTAACAAGTTATTTGACCTCTTTGAGCCTCATTTTCTCATCTGTAAAATAGGGATGCATCTGTTTCAGAGGCTTCTTTGTAAATTAGATGAAATAACACAAAAATTCCCCTTGGCACAGTGGTTGGCAAAAAGTTAAGTGCTAAGTAGCTGTGATTTATTACCATTTGTAGTTTTGTCTTGGTTGTTATATTTTATTAGGATGGACATGTAAGATGAGATACGTACGGCATTGTTTTTTTTTTTTTTTTTTAACTCAACTGCCATTTATCGAGTCTTGTTTTGTACCAGGCACTGTACTTAGCACATTTTGGTTATATTTCTTCACATGATTCTGAAAACAATTCTACAAGGTAGGTCTATTATCCCCATTGCACAAGTGACGTTAAATAACTTGGAAGTTGTCTTATAACCAGTAAGTGGTTGAACCAGGAATCCATCCATGTATGCCTGACTCCAAAACCCATTTTTTTCTATTAATTTCATATTGTTATTTGTGTTGGAAAGGAATTAAAAGCAACCTCCTCTCTGTGGTTGATTGCAATTCCTCATGGTTTAGATCCATCTTGGAGCTCTTACAGGTTGACCTCAGTTCCTAGAGGGCTTGAGATTTTTGATAGGTATCAAAATTCTCCCCATATGAAGAGCTTTCCTTTCTCTACCCATCTAAAAATGCCTCTCATTTCGGAGAAGGACCATTTCAAATGGCACAAATTCATGGCCAGAGGGATAGTGGTAAAGGAGGGTTTTCATGGAGTATAATTATGGGAACCGTGGATGGATTAAAGTGGTGAAGACTGACTCTCACCTGGTTGGTAGGGGAGTGGTGATGACTTTTAAATAGAGAAGTCGAGTAAGGAAAGCAATGCTTTAGGAAGATTATTTAGTAGTAGAAAGGAAAGGACAAATAAATGTACAAGGTAAATTTGTTATGTTTGTTGAATACCAGGCAATTTACATATACATAGTTCATTAGCCCTCTTTTCCTTCCATTCCCTTTTCTGATTTTCTCTACTACTACTCTACCTATTTGTTGAGTAAATTTAGATTTTGAACAGTGAATTTACATAAAGTAGATCTATATAAATAAATTTTGAATCAAGTTAAAGCCTCAATTTTAATAGAAAACTACTCAGCTTTCCTGGTAACCAAAGAAATGCCAATTAATGCAGTCCTGGACAGATATATATTGTACATACTAAATTAGCAAAAACTATATATATTTTTGATAGTGTTGTATATTGTTAGAGCAATTCTTAACTTTTAGTTGTAACTGGTACAAATCTTTCATATAAAAGTAGGAAGTAAATAAAATAGAACAAGATTCAGGGCACTTGGGTGACTCAGTCCGTTAAATTTCTGATTTCGGCTCAGGTCCTGATCTCAGAGCCCTGGGATGGAGCCCCCATCAGGCCATGCTCAGTGGGGAGTCTGCCTCTCCCTCTCCCTCTCCCTCTGCCCCTCCTCCTGCTTGTGCTCTCTCTCTCAAATAAAATCTTAAAAAACCAAAACAAGATTCACAAAAAAGATCATACCCTTTGACTCATACACATTCCCGACAATTTGTCCTTGGAAAATGCTTCAGCAGAAAGTTGAAGTTACCAAGATGTTTATTTTAGCATTGTATATGATAACAAAAAACTGGAACTAATGTAAATGTTCAAAAAGTAGGAAATCATTTGAGTTATACCCTATCGAAATTACAGAATAGTGTTTAACCACTAAAAATGAGTATGTAGGGGTGCCTGGGTGGCTCAGTGATTGTCTGCCTTCGGCTCAGGTCATGATCCCAGGGTCCTGGGATCGAGCCCCGCATCGGGCTCCCTGCTCCACAGGAAGCCTGCTTCTCTCTCTCCCACTCCCCTTGCTTGTGTTCCCGCTATCGCTGTCTCTCTCTCTGTCAAATAAATAAATAAAATCTTAAAAATAAAAAAAATAAAAATGAGTATGTAAAATTATTCATTAAAAATAGAGTATACAAAAATCTAAACACTGACTGTTTTCAGTGATGAGACTATTGGCAGTTTTTTTAGTCTTTCTACTCTTGGGTTTTCCTCACTTCTCTTTTTTTCCCATTTTTTTAAATTTAAATTCAGTTAATTAACATATAAGGTATTATTAGTTTCAGAGGTAGAGTTCAGTGATTCATCAGTCTTATATAAGACCCAGTGCTCGTTACATCATGTGCCCTTCTTCATGCCCATCATCCAGTTACCTCATCCCCCAACCACCCACCCCTCAGTTTTTCTCATTTCTAGAATGAATATATATTACTATTATGATAAAAAAAATGTTAAGAGAACTAAAGATGTAAAAAAATATTACATAAAGGTAAACTAAATAGAAGTAGAATAAATGTTATACCCTGCCTCATATGACCAAAAGCTAGAAGCTAATGTCTAAAAATTAAAATGGTTATATTAGGAAGGTGGGATCGTGGGGTTTTTCTTTTCGTTTTTCTTCACATTACAAGCAGTTTTAGCTTAGCCTTTTATTTTAGTTTATTGGAGAACGTATATAATATGTTCCATTAATATTTAATTCATAAAAATGTACATTTTGAGTAATTTGTATATTTATGTGACCTGCCTTCTAACAAATGGAAAATTAATATTTGCTTTTTTTTTTTTTTTTTACAAATGGATATTTTTTAGCAATTGGCATGTAATTTAAAAATTACAGGGACGCCTGGGTGGCTCAGTTGGTTAAGCAGCTGCCTTCGGCCCAGGTCATGATCCCAGGGTCCTGGGATCGAGTCCCACATCGGGCTCCTTGCTCAGCAGGGAGCCTGCTTCTCCCTCTCTCTCCCTCTGCTTGTGCTCTCTCTGTCAAATAAATAAAATCTTAAAAAATAAATAAATAATAAAAATTACAATGGAAAGGTACTTTCATGTCTTAAAATGAAAACTATAAAATTATGTGACTAGGAAAGGAAAAATAATTCATTCAGGATTCTCTGTCAACTTAGTATTGTTGGCAATGTTAATACTGTCTAGTAGAATGTTACCCAAATTTAGTAATCAGTTTTGTTTTCTTTTGTTACCCAGCAAAACTCTTCATTGTAGGATCAAACTCTTCATCATCAACTAGAAATGCAGTTGACATGGGTAAGCAAAAATTTAACTTTTTACCTTCATAACTTTAAATTAGTATGGGGTAGTAGTTATATCTTGTGTTCAGGACCAGGTGAAAAAGAAGATGAGCTCATTCCAATTTTACTTTCTAAAGTTCTAGCCTGATTTCTTAAGGCTTCTGTCAGATCATATCGACTTACATAGGTTCATATTTTGATATATATGAGGAACGTAAAAGATGTAACATAATTGTTAACTATACGTTTGGAGATGAAATTCTCCTTAACCATATTCTTAGCCCTTGTAGTACTGTAGATGAAACACCATGACCACCACCTCCACAACAACAAAACAAGCACTCTCATCTTTGTTCAGCACTTGGTCAGATGATTGTGATGTTACAGTTATTCAACATTTTTTCTTTTAAAACATTCTTCCAGTATTATAGGTGTTGAACATTTAAATAATTAGCTCTTTAATATTACTATGGAATGGACAATAATCATTTAAAATAAACCCTTTAAGTTATTTTTACAGGAATTAAATTATCTACCTCTATAGATTAGGACCATAAATTTAGTTTTTCAGAGTCTCAAGACTATTCTTTGCCATGACTACCGATTACAGAATATGAGGTCAGAATTCTTGTGATCATACGTACAAGATACTAGTAGAACTGGAGAAGAAAATTTTATGAAGATAAAGAAGCTACCAAAAAATTCCTGGGGCCTAGGAAACAAGGAGGCCTGTTCCCCAGAAGGACTGTCAGAGCTGTGAGTCCCTAGGAAGGAGGCAGGTCAAAGAAACTGACCTGTCTGCCACACAGACCAAGTAGATGAACAGGGACTTACACTTTTTTAAGAGATGGCAATGTTCTAAATGATAGGTAAATTATGAAACTGAATGAAATAATCTGCTATATTAGAAAACTAGTGAACTGTATGGACAGAATTTAGTGGGATACTTGAAAGACATTACTTGTTTTCATTATGTAACAAATATTTATCCTATTGTGTTTTCCTTCACATCAGCCTGTTCCGTCCTTGGAGTTGCACAGCTGGATTCTGTGATCATTGCTTCACCTCCTATTGAAGATGGAGTTAATCTCTCCTTGGAGCATTTGCAGCCTTACTGGGAGGAATTAGAAAACTTGGTTCAGAGCAAAAAGATTGTTGCGATAGGTACCTCTGACCTAGACAAAACTCAGTTGGAACAGCTGTATCAGTGGGCACAGGTAAAGCACAGCTAGATCACAGGCACTCTGGGAGGAGCCTGTCATTTACAGTCTTTGCTTCACACTGCTTAGTGTCATGCACAAGAGTGGACACTTAGAGTGGGGGGGCTATTCCAAATGTGGGAGTTTTGAGGCAAGCTTTATCTAAAGCACTGGCCTTTATCATCTCAAATATATACCTAATTGACCTTAGTATTAATCTCATTTAAAAGGAGTGACAAAAACCCTAGAAAATGTGTCCTGAAGCATTTATAGCCAGCATGAATTCAGGCCATTTCCTTCGGTTTTACTTTTGTGATAAAAATATTACATTTTGCTTTAGATATGCTTAGGTCTTGGTTCTGATTTCTTAGGTAAGGGAATATCATCTGTAACAAATATTTTGCTCTTACTTAAAGATATAAAATACTTTTGGTTCATAGAATTTGATAAGGAATAAGTGTCATAAATTAATCACTACTCTCTGGCCTCTAATAATGTACAATATTATTAGGGAAATTGCTTACCAGTATTTTACCTTTACCCTCTGTATTTTTCTTTATTCCTTTTACTTCATCCCCAACCTTCTTTGCAGAGCTTTCAGTTTCTTATGGGCAGGAAGACCTTAGAGAAAGTATTGTTCCTCCTCCCTTTGACTTGGTGATAGCCAGAATGTGGCTAAGATTCTGCTGGAGAGACTTGGGTGATCTGGAATGTATCTGTAAATTAACCAGAGCAACTATTGGAAGTTATCGAATTCTTTTTCAAAATGTGTCTGATTTATAACCATATTTTATACTTTAACACTAAATGTTCTTACCATTTCTATTGGCTCCTTTACCTTTAAGACCTATTCCCTCTTGGGCTGGAATCATCACACTTAGAACCATGTTTGTTTCTGAGGCAAGTGTATTAGATTGCAGGAGAGTTTCTAAGGGTATAACAGTATATTGGCTTTTCCCTCCATCCTAGAGCTTTCCTTTCCCTGTTATCACTGACATGAGTTAAAAAAGCATACATTAATATATTCATATAAAAATGTTTTATAAATTTTTAGCACTATAAAATGCAGTCTTTTGTATTTTCTAAAATTGTGTTCTTTTATTGCTTTCCACTTTTTCTAGTACTTAATTTAGTGCAATGTCATGATTTTTTTCACTTCTAGGTAAAACCAAATAGTAACCAAGTTAATCTTGCCTCCTGCTGTGTGATGCCACCCGACTTGACTGCATTTGCTAAACAATTTGACATACAGCTATTGACTCATAATGATCCAAAAGGTAAGACTGAGATTTTCATTTGTTGATTGATCATGAGCTTTTGTCTTACAAGAAGATACTTGTTAAAATTTAATTTTTAATTTTGTACAATGATAAATGCTACCTAGAACTTTTCTTAATAGTCCAAAATATATATGCATTTAGTTTCAGAAAGCTTTATTTTGTCTGTCAATGAGCAAAAAATTGAAGGGATCATTTCCTGAACATCTAGTCTGTTGAAGTTTATAAATATTAAGCTACACAAAAAAGATCTTTTAAGATATTCTAAATAGTATCATATAAAATCTTGTGTAGTACAGCAAAAATGGTACCAAACAGCCACTTAGTTAAAGAGGGTAAATAGCTGAAAAGAGAGGCAGATAAAATTTAATTTGAAATTTAAGCATCTTAGGATAGGTAATTGATTAGGTATTTTATTAATCATTTCTATCAAGACCTATATGTTTGGGGTCAATCAGAAACATTATTTGATTAATGAGAAGAATGTCTTGTCCGCCTTCTGTAGTATAATGTTTTATCAACATTTTACAGGATAAGTAGAAAAGCTAGGAAGAGAATGTTTTACACTTTATACGTATTTATTTAGCAGTCTGTCCCATTCTCATTTTTTCACTGTTTTGTGGGAAGAGGAGTTTTAATAGTTATTGCTCCTCAAATGTTAGGCATCATGCTAAATGCCTTAGAGGGATAATCTGTAATCCTCACAACAACTGAAACTAGGCGTTTTATTGTTGAGGAAATAGAGCCTCAGAATTCAAGAAACTAGCCAAGTTCACCCAGCTGGCATGGGGCAGAGTTTAAATTAGGACTTGGTCATGGCTGAATTGGGAGCCTTTCCCCCTATTCTGTACTATCTTTTTAATTTGAGATGTTAGCATTGTAGTATTTCAGTCTGAAACCTTACTTTCTTATCAGTTTCTATTTAAATGATACCAGAATAGGAGAAAATGACTTTTGCCTCTCCCTTCAGTAATTACTTTCATAAGTAATTAGATTCACTAAAAAAAAGTCATCTTAGTGAAACTCTAACAAAGAACTTCTACGCCAATTTATTCTGAAACATAAACCATTTAAATTCCAACTTTATGTTAGCAGATATTCTATCATTTATCTGTTTACTTTGGAGGGGGGGCTCTTCCAACAATAATTATTATCAACAGCTGATGGATGAGCCTGCACCCCGTTCTAGCTCCACTTGAAAAAAAAACTCTTTCCTTTTTCTAGTAGGAAAGGAAATAGGAAAAGACTAAGTTGTCTGGTATTTTATTTCCATGGTAGATGGAAGGCATGTGGGTATGTGCTAATGTATTGTTCTTATTGAAAAATAAATTGTATATACATATGAGAAGAGAAATTTAATCCTTTTTTGGTATGTTTTTGCTTTACTGACATAACTTATATTTGGATGTCTTTCTAATTTTAATCCTAAACCCTTTGATTAGAATTTATAGGCTGATCCTGCATATACCATTAATGAATCTTCAGACACTTTGATCTGTAATGAAGCAATTCTTTCCTTAAAAGATTTATTGTGTTTACTGATTCTAAACAGTTCACATAGTTAATTTAAAAGTATGTAATTAAGCTGATGAATAGCATAGCTCTCTGATTATGTGTCACATTTTATTTTTTAAGCAATCAAGTTGTAAAACATTTAACTCTACTTGTCATCTAAAATAGAGTTTTGTTTATAAGTCCCCTCTAAAACCCTTCCCCTGTTCTAAAATTACCCTATTCTTCAGAAAGTGCTTATTTTCCATTACTCTTTGTCCTAGAAGTTGTGGTAACAGTTTAACTACAGTCAGGGTGAAATTGTGAAGTAGGTGATCCTGACTCAGAACCTTTCCCTTTTTATTTGTTTTACCCTCCCCTCATTCCCATTAAATCTGATCTGCCTTATGCCTCATTCCCTCCAGGTCCTGTTCTCTGTCAGATAGACTGATACACAAATCCATGTTCATGTTACTTTCCCAAAGAGATATTTGCCTTCCATTTATGAAAGTTGCCATTTACTGGCTGCATGACCTTGGGCAAGTTATCTAACCTCTCTGCCTCAGTTGCCCCCTGGAAAAGGGGAGAATATTATCTATCTTGTAGGGTTAACATGTAGATTAAAGGAGCTAACACATATGAAGTACTCAGAAAAGTACCTGGCACATGATAATAGCTAACATTTACTGAGAGTTTACTATTGATGTTATTCAAATATCACAACAGTTCTTTTGGGTCAATTGGGTCCTATAGTGCTCCCAAATCATACTGTATAGATGGTCACTTAGTCTCTATCTGTGTGGTTGGTTCTGACCGTGGTAGAATCTTTCCATATTGCTTGATTGATTCAACAGACATTTGCATACCTACAATGTGTCATTCATTATTCAAAGTACTAGAAATGTAAGGACCAAGTCAGATAAATTCCAACCCTCATGGAATTTATATTCTGGTGGGAGGAGATGGACAATAAGGTAAATGTTAAATGTGAGAAATGATCGTATGTGCTATGGAGAAAAATTGGCTGAGGAAGAAAAGAGTGCCCAGGTTAGGGGTTGTTTTATATAGGGTAAGTCAGGGAGGCCTCTCTGCTAAGGTGACATTAATCAGAGACCTGCAGGAAGGGTGAGAGCCCTGCGAGAATCTGGAAGAAGAGTGTTCAGGGAAGAGGGAGCAGCTGACTCAAAGGCCCCAAAGTGTGAGTGTGCTTGAGGATTTCAGGATACAGGTATGAGGCCAGTGTGGCTGGAGAAGATGCAGTGAGGGCGGGAGTAGTACATCCAAATAGGAGTCAAGGGCTTGGATATCAATGTGGAATTAGAAAATGATTATTTCATCAAAGAGATACAAATAAAAAGATAACCGTTGCCAGAGTTTTTAAACGATTGCTGGTGCTCGTGAGGATATGATAAGATTGGCACTCTAACATTATCAACTGCTAGTGGAAGTGTAAAATATAGCCTTTCTGGAAAGCAATTGGCAATATACTGTCTATCAAGCCTTCAAAATGTATTTGTACTTTGACTTTGTCATTCCATAGCCAGGCATGCATTTTAAAGATGTTCAGCATAGCATTATTTTTATTAGCAAAATACTAGGAAAAACCTAAATTTTTTGGTCAACAATGAGGAAATGTATAAATTATGGTATCTATATAATGTAGTATCTGGATAATTATTAAAAATGATGCTTCCACAGAATATTTAATTACATGGGAAGATTCATAATAAAAGTTGAAAAGATAAGTAAATTAGGTTGTAACTACAGCATGATTTTCAGTTTTTGACGTACGGAAAGGTACAGAAAAAAAGTTGGAAGGATATACATGGCAATGGAAGTAATCTATCTCTGGTTGATAGGATTATGGATACTTTCCTTTTTCTTCTGTGTATGTACTTTCCTGTATTTTCACTGGCTCTACATTAGAATTGCCTGGAAGTCTTCAAAAAAAAAAAAAAAAATTGCAGGCTCCACTCACCAGAGGTTATGAAATAAATAGGCTGGGGTAGAGGTGTAGGGACTTTCTAAAGAACTACCTGGATCTTTTTGATATTCTGGTTCAGATTCCTAGCACACATGAAGGAAAAGCATATTTTATATTCAATTTTGAATTGTTTCTTTTGTTGTATTTAAATGCTTACCTACATGGTAAAGTGCTGTTATTTTCAAACTTAACACTTTGGGTTTTTATTTGTTTGTTTGTTTGAAGAACTGCTTTCTGAAGCCAGTTTCCAAGAAGCTCTTCAGGAAAGCATCCCTGACATTCAAGCACATGAGTGGGTGCCCCTGTGGCTACTGCGGTATTCGGTCATTGTTAAAAGTAGAGGAATTATCAAATCAAAAGGCTACATTTTACAAGCTAAAAGAAGGGGTTCTTAACTACGACTTAGGATCATAACCTACTGACTTGTATTTTCCTTGAATAGAAGATAAAATTGAGATGTATAAAAATTAGTTACTGCCTGTAAATGGTGTCATGGAGGCAGATATTCTTCAGTTATATTTGACAATATGTTATCTGTCAAGATTTGAATACTTCTCTTGCCTCTATATCAGTTCACTCACATGAACTCCACTGTATTGTTTTCATTAAACTATTGTTTTCTAATTGAAATTGTCTATAAAGAAAATACTTACAATATATTTTTCCTTTATTTTTATGACTAATAGAAATCAAGAAAAATTGTTGTTAGATATATTTTGGGCCTAGGTATCAGGGTAATGTATATACATATTTTTTATTTCCAAAAATTAATTAATGGCTTCTTATTCTATAGTATAAGCAATTTAATTACAATTGTTAAAACTGAAATACTGGAAGATATTTTTTCTGTAATTGATAAGATGATTATATCCCAGAGTAACTAGAGTAGCTGGGATCTACTAGTAGTATAAGTAAAATTCATTTCTTCAATACATGAATGAAAACTTAAACTTAACTGTCCTTGCTTGTAGTTTACCTATAATGATTTAATCTTGTATTCTTGTGCCATATTTTCCTTGCTATTATTTCTAAGACAAACCAAAGTGAATCTGAAAAAGGAGACTAGAAGCTTTGAAATTATTATTTGGGGGTTTTATAAAAGCAACTATTATCATCTCCAGATTCTTTTTAATACTTGATCCATCCTTAATATTTTGCTATTCATTCAAGAATATTCAATAAGTATTGAGTGTTTACCATGTGCTGGGCACTGTGGGCTCTGGGGAGAGAGGGGACACAGGGAGTCAGAATCAGTTGAGTAAAATGTGTAATATTTGTTCCCCACTAATAACTGACTTGAAGGGACTAACAGCCAGAAAAGGAGTGAAAAAAATCTTTAATTTAAGGCCAACATTGTCTATTTAGACAACTTTTTTTTGAGATACGGTCTTAACTATTTAAAAGCAAAATGATATAATCAAAACTTTAGAGCTAGAAGAGGTCATAGATTATTTATTATAATTCCTCATTAGTTTAAGAACCAGGAAATAGCAAACAAATAAGCTGTGGCCTTTGATATAGACTACAGGTTTCCTTAGGTTTACAAATTTGTATCTGTAACCCAAATAGTTTGAAAAGTTCTTCAAAAATCTCTTGTATGTCAATCAGTACCTTTAAACCATGTGTCTTAATACATGGTTTATAAAAAAAACTAATATAGGGTACCTGGGTGGCTCAGTCAGTTAAGTTTCTGCTTTCAGCTCAGGTCATGATTCTGGGGTCCTGGGATTGAGCCCTACATCGGGCTCCCTACTCAGCGGGGAGTCTGTTTCTCCCTCTGAGCCTCCCCCCCTGCTCATGCTCTCTCTCACTCTCTCGCACTCTCAAATAAATAAATAAAATCTTTTAAAAAAATAAACTAATATATAAAACTAATTTTGCCCAAGTTTTTTCAACTTAGAGAAAAGTGGTTCCATATTCAAAGTCAATACACTAGGGGCACCTGGGTGGTGCAGTTGGTTAAGTGTCCGACTCTTGGTTTGGCTCAGGTCATGATCTCAGGGTCATGCGATCAAGCCCCACATAGGGCTCTGACTCTCAGCGCCAGAGTCCGCTTGGGATTCTCCCCCTCCCTCTGTCCCAACCCTGCACGCACACGTGTGTCTGTGCACATGCGCTCTCTCTCTCTCTCTCAAATAAATAGATCTTTTTTTTAAAAAAAAAGGAAATAGAGCAGACTCTTCCTATCCTAAATAATGTTTTGTAGTTTACTGGTTGGATAATTTGATCATAGAATTGTAACATGAAATCAGCTGATTTATTTGTTAAAATTCATTTAGACTTAGAGCTTCCTAAAGCCTTATATAGCCTTTATATTAATTGTATATAATGTTATGGAATGTATATAGTTAACTTTTTTATTTGGAAATGTGTAACATTTTTTCATACAACATAAGTCTTTAAACAAATGTTCATTTTAATTTAAGCCTAAACAGTGAATTGGTCAAGATATTTTAAGAGGGAACTTTATATCAATTTGTTGCTTTTTAAAACCGTAGACTTATAAAAATGGATTGTTTGAAGGGTTATTTTGAAAATGGAAAAAAAAAAACAACTTATGTTACTAATTGATACAAACTTCAGAGGAACTTTTTTTGTGTACTTTCTCCCCCCTCTCTTGACAAAGAAGCAAGATTATAGATTCATTTTGTGAAGGGGATTGTGTATGTATGGAATTTTAAAAAGTTTATTTGTTTAACTTCTGTACCTTTAATTTCTGTTATTGAATAACCATTTTTAAAAAAATGATGTTTTAAGACTTGACAATTTTCCAAACTGGTGTTCACATCTTTTTTTTTTTTTTTTTGTAAACTATCAGAATATAGTGAATGCTTTTCAAATATTTAAGGACTTAATGTTTAAAAAGCCATAAAATAAAGAACAGTAATACTACCAAATAATTGCTTAAAGCTGAAAGCTAAGTTATCAATAGTGTATATAACAGATATGTTTTCTGGGGAGAGGTGTATCCAATGACTCAAGGTAGAAAGAATTTGTATAATTGTTTTTGTTTTTTTTTTTCAGTAAACATGAAAAGCTACAGTTTATTACATTTACAGAATGCACTGGAGGCTTACATTAACACAATGTACTGTAACTTAGAATTTGTTCTGTGATGAGTCTATCTTATATTCTCATCCAAGAAACTGTAGTCACCAGAAGGACCAAGGTGTCTTATAAAATATGTTCATATGGTGTAAATTATGCAGACCACATCAGTACGCTAGTAGAGTATCCATTTAGGGATATCCAGTGCTAGATTGAATCACAAATAGCTAATAATTTTTCTGTTCTCAAAGAAAATCACTTAAACAGCTATGTGTGGAATGGAAAATAAAGCTACTCTATTTTGAATGAATGGTCAGACTTTTCCCTACCAGAGCTAAGTAGTAACTGAAATAGGATCTCAGTTTTCAGTGATAAAAGGTCTAAGATTCATTTAATTACATCTCATTTTTGAACAGATTTTCTTTCCAGCTTTTCTATCCAGCATTTTCAGTATTGGGGAATGAAATGATTGACAGTTCATCTCTCTGCCAATTGTACATTTAGAGAAATTTGAAGTTGTTTTAATGAGAATTTAAGCCATTTGTTTTCATAATCAAATATACCAACTTTTGATTCTGAACATATTTTTTAAAGTTAACTTCCTAATGTACCAGAACTTGTACCTGTCATTTCCTCATAAAGTTGTTGATGGGATATGTCAGTTTTATTTTTGAAAACTATGTAACATAACTTTCATTAATATTTTTTATAGTTTTCAGAATTAGAAATACACTTAGGACAGGAAAATGTTTTCATTAGATGTGTCTATAGTGGTGTATTATAAAATACAGGCAAAATATAAAGCATTAATATTTATAATAGTCTTTAATTTCACCTGTATTATGAGTATTATGAATTAATTAAAATAAAGTGTGTTGTATATTGTTTAATTGAGTTGTTTGGGTAGTTGAAAGCATCCTAGAGTATTGATTTTGACCTATTTGAACTCAAACTGAGTATGATTTGAAGATAAATTCTGAATAATTTTTAAATATCCAAGCCATAAAGCTATTCATGCGTTCATTCATTCAAAGACTTATCAAATGCCTACTATATGCCAGCCACTGTGTAAGGTATTGGCAGACAGACACAGAAATAAACAACCTCTGTCTTCAAGGAGCATATAGTATAGGTTGGCGGGGGTGGGGGGGGGCGGGGGAGAGAGATCTGTACATGAACAAGAGCAGTTAGAGTCCATGTGTTAATGATCAAAGTGGGGAAAAGGGATTGGGGGCAGATAGAAGGAAGTGGGGCTAGGGACTATCTACTGGTAGGAGACTTCCCTGAAGAAATTAGCCTTAAGAGTAGGATGAGACTGGGTGGGCATTCTGGCAGAGGCCTTTGTTTGCCTTGTTTGTAAATAGGCTTTTATTGAATGATGAACAATTTATATGTAAACTTTAGGATCAGTGAAAACACGTTCTTAAAGAGCTTGCCCTTACAGATAGAAAGGAATGGCTTCTGTTGAGACAAGAGTAAGTAAGGTTGGAAACGTAAAATTTTATTTAAAAAAAGAGGCTAAAACTTGCCCAAATCCCCCAAATAGAATATGGCTGTTATAGTTTCACTACCAGAAAAGCCAAACAAAACTTTAATATGTAAATCTCAGCAATGAATAAATGTATAAAATGTCATACAAGATTTTTATGTGTCTGTTGGTCCATTATTTTGAAAGGTTCATGTTTTACAATATGCATTACTTACTTTGACTCAGCTGTGTTTTCCTTGTTTCTTTCCTCACTGTTGATTCCTGCATCCTACTCCATTTAAGTTCGCTTTTTTCTAAGTATGTCACTAGTAATTCTTTCGCTGAAGGTCTTTGTCTTTGGGCACAGTAAACTTTGTAGGTCCTGTTTGTCTGCAAATGTCTTCATTTTGTTCTCAATCTTAAGTGATCATTTGACATTATAGAATTCTAAGTTTCCAAATACTTTCCCTGAGCAATTTGAAGATAATATTCTGTTGATTTCCAGCATATATACTCTTCCTGATGAAACTCTGGATTTCCTTCCCTAAAAGTAATGTCTTTTTCTCTAGTCTTTTTTTTTTTTAGTTGAAAATTTCGACTTATTTTGACGTGTATGGAATTAGAACAAAGCAGGAAAATTAAAACTGGCTGCAAAGCTTTTTGATAACAAAAAACCATAAAAGAAAACACTGATAACTGGATTTAATCAAAATTTAAATCTTCTGTTCCTCAAAAGGCACTTAAGAAAGTGAAAATACAAGCCATAGACTGGGGGAAAATATTTCCAATACATACTTCTGATGAAAAATAAGGCATAATCAAATTATTTTTAAATTGCACTTCAAAGGACTGTCAAGAAAGTGGAGAGACACCCCACAGAATGATTAACATATGAATAGCCAATGAAACATTAAAAGATGCTTAACATCATTATCAGGGAAATGCAATTTAAAACCATAAGGAAACATCACTAGAATACAAAATAGCTACAATTTTAGAAGGCTGACAGTACCAAGTGTTGACAAGGATATGGAGCAAACAGAACTCTCATATTGCTGGTGGGAACATAAAATGGTATGACTACTATGGAAAATACCTTGGCATTTCTTACAAAATTCAGTGTTCACTTAACATATGGCCCAGCAATTATTCTCCTAGGTATAGAGAGAAATACAGATGTCCAAAAAGAACATATATAAATGTTTATAGCACTTATATTAGCTGAAAACTGGAAACCACCCAAATGCTATTAACAGTTGAATGGATAAATGAACTGTATTATAATCATACAATGGATACCAAGGATTAAAAATTATATACAGTAACATAGATGAATCTCAGACACCTGCTGAGTGAAAGAAGCTAGACATGAAAGAGCGTGTACTTACATGAAATTTTAGAGCAGACAAAATTATTTGATAATGACATTTATTGCTGTTTCTGGGTACCTTAAGGTGTCTCAAAAGGTTGCAGTCAAAGTGTCAGCTGGGATTACAGTCTTACCTATATGCTTGATTGAGGTGGGTCTACTTCCAAGCTCGCTCATACGGTTGTTGGCTAGACTGAGTTCCTTGTTGGCTATAGGCCAAGAGGCCTCCCTCATTTCCTTGCCACATGGCCCTCTCCATAGAACAGCTCATAACATGCAACTAGCTTCCCACAGAATGAACAGGTGAGATGGTGCAAGAAGGTGGCCAGCTTTTTGGTAACCTAATCATGAAAGAGATCTATCACTTTTGACATTCTTTTCATTATCACCAGGTCCAGCCCCCACTCAAGGGTTTGAAACTGGGAGATGGGATCATTGGGGACCATCTTAAAGCCAACTTTAATTTTACATGTAATATGTAATAACTACATACTAGTTATTATGTAGCAGAATAACTACAAGTAGTAGTTATTTTTAGAAGGCTCATGAACTAAAACTCCCATATTTTGGTTAATGCCTGAAATTCCAGGGAGAGATTCAATGTTTCAGTTTAAGGGTTTAATTAGTAAAATATTGACTATCAAGGGAGAGTTTCCCTTTGGGCCTGAGTGATAACTACTGTATTTTCATACTGTATCTACCTAAAATTGTGTATTTGCCCTCAATCCACATTGGGTAAAGAGGGTAGGCGAAAAGGTAGAAATGGAAACGGGGCAGACCTGGGAAGCCCACTTAAAACAAAAACAGAACATGGTGCAGTTTTGCCTATTATCAGCCAACCTGCTGATAGTAGACCAGCTCAGTCTTCTCAGATTACGAATATGTACTGACGTTTTAATTTGTATTTTGTTTTTTAATCTTGTTAGATTGTAATGTTTGGGAGTTTTTGTTTTACTTTAAAATGGCCATGCTTGCAAGTGAATATTACACATTGATTTTTTAATATTCCCCAATTTTCTATACCCACTCCTGTGATCTTAATTTCATTTTCATGCATTTGCTCATGTTAAAGTTGTAGAGTTCACGAGTTAGTGCATGTAACCTCCAATAAGTTCACTTTCCTTCCTCTACACCATTCTACCTTCTCTTGGAATCTAACCTGTCTTATATTCTTCCTCTTACATGGTCTCACTGCTACATGGCCATACTAAAATTCCTTCTTTGGGGTGCCTGGGTGGCTCAATCATTAAGTGTCTGTCTTTGGCTCAGATCATATGATCTTGGGGTCCTGGGATTGAGTCCTGGCATTAGGCTCCCTGCTCAACGGGGAGCCTGCTTTCCCTCTCCCTCTCTCCCCTGCTCGTGCTCTGTCTTGCTTTTGCTCTCTCTCTCTCAAATATATAAATAAAATCTTTTTTAAAAATAATAAAATTCCTTCTTTTTGTTCCTTACCACATTCCCTACAAGGGTCAATCTAAACCTTTTTCCATCCCTCTAAACAGATGAATCTTCTGTTTACAGAGAAGATTGAAGTTATCCATCCAAAAGCCCCTCTTCTTCCCTCCACTTTAATTTCCTTGCATTCACATTCTCTTTCTACTTCAAATATTAACTCTTCCCTCCTGCCTCAAAGAAAGGAGCATTCTTCTGTGGCTAACTTCATCTGTTTTTTTATTCCATTCTTCAGTTGGATTTGGCTCAGCTGCAATAACAGAAAATCTCCAAATAAGTGACTTTAAAAAGTGATGAATCACTAAATTCTACACCTGAAATTAATATTATACTGTATGTTAACTAACTGGAATTTAAATAAAAACTTGGGGAAAAAAGGTGTTTCAGGTGAAACAGATGTAGAAGTGCGCTGTTGAAGACAGATATGGCAGCTCCATCAGTTGTCAGGGACTCATGTTTTCTTTCTCACTGCTCTGCCATCCCTGAAGTGTGGCCCTTATCTTCATTGCACAAACTTGCTGCTTGAAACCTGAGAATACAGCTTTCCAGGGTGAAAAAGGAAGTTAAAGAAGTCAGGGAGGACCTCCTCTTTTCCTGTGTCCCTAAAGAACTACACAACAATTTATACTAATTGGCCAAAATTTAGTCAGCCACATTTGGCTGCAAGGGAAACTATGAAAGGACCTATTTAGCTGGTGGTCATGTGCCCAATGAAAGAATCTGTGTTTTGTGACAATAAGAAAAAAATTGGTTTTCTGTTACTAGATTTGGTGAAGAACTCATCCTTTCTTGCCAACAGTAGCCCTTTCCATTCCCCTCAGATATATTCTAACTCTCCATACTTCATCCTAAAAGAACACCAAACACCGTCTCTTGATTCTGGTCATTCTCTTCACTGCAAGAAAAAAAAAAATTTTTTTTTTATTGCTCTCCTTTAAAACTTAACATTTCTGGGGCGCCTGGGTGGCTCAGATGGTTAAGCGTCTGCCTTCGGCTCAGGTCATGATCTCAGGGTCCTGGGATCAAGCCCTGCATCGGGCTCCCTGCTCAGCGGGAAGCCTGCTTCTCCCTCTGCTTCTCCCTCTCCTGATCCCCCTACTTGTGCTCTGTCAAATAAATAAAATCTTTACAAAATAAATAAATAGGGGTGCCTGGATGGCTCAGTCGTTGAGCGTCTGCCTTCAGCTCAGGTCATGATCCCAGGGTCCTGGGATCGAGCCCCGCATCGGGCTCCCTGCTCAGCGGGAAGCCTGCTTCTCCCTCTTCCACTCCCTCTGCTTCTGTTCCCTCTCTGGCTGTGTCTGTCAAATAAATAAAATCTTTAAAAATTAAAAATTAAAAAAATAAAATTTAACATTTCTTCTTTTCCGCTTATTTCCGATTCCTAGTCACCATCTTACCTTTAGACAGCCTCCTAGTCTCTGAGTTTCTGGAACATTTAAAAAATACATCTTTACCCTAACCGAGTCTTTCGACTTTATTAATAAAAAATTAATATTTAATTTCACGAATAAGACAAGAGTACGTCGTTACAAAAAAAAAATAATAATGCAAACGCCTCATTGGGTCACACCCATGACTACATTAAGACCAAACATATGAGAGGATGGTTGAAGTTGGAAAGAAGATGCGATTTTCCAATTCGTTTGTGTTAAACTGGGACGAGGGCCCTCCGTCACTGCGGTTTCGCCGCCCCAACGAAGGTGTCTCCCTGCCAGAGGCCGGTGCGTCTGAATTTAACCGCCCTGGAGTGAACGTTGGAAACCGTAGCCTTAGGAATCCCTAGGTCAGACCCGCCTGACCCAGGTCCGTGGGCCGGAGGCCAGTACGAGATTCTCGTTAGTTACGGGATCCTCGCGGAAAATGCGAGCGAGACGCTTCTTTGACGTATTTCCGGGGCGCCGGAACAGAGGCAGGCCGAGGTGGCCGCGAGCCGGGAGGATGGTGGTGACCAGGTCTGGGAGGCCTCAGGCCACGGTCCAAGCCACGTTGGCTGAAAACTCCCAGCAGAAGGTAGGAGGTGGCAGAGCGCTCTCATTTCTGCCGCTGCTTCACAGAGCGGCACTTAGGGTGATAGGGCGGCGCGAAGGTCTGGCGGAGCAGCGTGAGGAGGAGCGGCGGAAAGGGCCCGAGCTTGTCGCGCGCTGCTGTGTCAGACCCAGTGCTAAGCCCGTAGCTTCCTCTTCAGTCCTCGCTACGGTCGTTTAAGACCGTCCTTAGCATGGAACAGAGAGGTCAGGTAACTTGCTTTGGGTAGTTCACTTTCGTAATGGCAGGTGAACAGCTGAGGCCTTTTAACCTATTAAAACCGTACGAAGGAGGCTTAATTTCGGCTACCAAGTGTGAGTCTTAACTATAATTAGGGCTGAAGAGGAGGTTACCGTTGTCACGTGGGGAGCTGGTAGTGGCCCCACAGCACTTTATTCTGGAGTGGGGAAGGCTGCAGTGACGCCTCCTGGTGGCTCTCAGTGGTTCTAGCCGTCCGCTGGCTCTGATTCTGCGACGAAGGGAATAGAGCGTTAATTCATTTATGTATGTAAAGGTAAGGGTAGCGACTGATTCCATTTGTGTGTGTATTCCTAAACACATCTGTGCTCAGAGTTAATATTTCTTCTCTCTTCCTCTCTGTGTCAGAATGTAGGTCCACCAAGCATATTTGGCATTTGATACTTACCTGCAGAAAATTTTCTTTTCAATTAATTGTTTTGCTCCCTAAAATTAGATCTAGGTCTCGGGTGAGGCGAGTGAAGCAGGGTCCTGCAAATGCAGAGTCAGATCCAGTATATGTTTTTGTTTTTTATTGTTAAAAATCATGGGTACTGGTGGTTGTGAGGCAGGGCCTTGCAAATGCAGTGTTCAATCCAGTATTTAGTATTTAGGTGTTTTGTTTTATGGGTGGTGGTAGTGGTTTTGTATTAATCTTGTTTACTGAGTTTTTTTAGTATCCTCTTAAAATGTTCTCCTGAGAGGAGTGCCCTAGTTCCAGTCCTACCTAAATTACAGTGTATTTATTCTGGCTTACAGAATTCTGCTAAAAGAATTGACGCACATCCAAAAGTCAGGAAGGAATGTCTACCTGTTGACCCAACTACTGCTGAATCACAGACCACTAGGATACAAAGTCCAGTCTCTAGAACTCCTAAAACCAGAAAGAGGAAGAGCGAAACTACAGTCTCATTATCTGAAATAAACAAACCGTCTACTGATGGAGAGACCTCTGAAGCAGAGTCAAATTGTTCTTCTGTATCTGAGCTCCAGGATCCCATTTTAAGAGTAACTAGGAGACGGCAGATCTTAGTTCCATGCACTCCAGTGTCCAGTGTTCGGAAAAGGCTGAAAATAACTCCAGTAAATCAGTCTCATATTGAAGAAGACAATGACGATGACTCTGAAGCTGAATCACATGTCTCAGGTATTTCTAGAATTGTGCCGCCCACAGCAATAACTACAAGGACCAGAAGAAGTAAGGCTAAATCTGTAAGAGATCCAAGCCAAGAATTACATGCAGAAGCTATTTCTGATGCTGAGTCATCATACTCAGACATTTCTTCATTTTCTGGAGTTGCAACTATGAGAACGAGAAGTATGCAGAAGAAATTAAACGCACAAACTGAGGAGAAAGATACTGACATTGTACCAGAAAATGAAAAGCAAATCATAAATGTGCCTATGAATTCAAAGGATTCAGATACCAGACAAACAACTTGTTTACTGGTAAGATCTCTTCCTCAGATAAATAAGCCAAATTTCTATAATGAAATTCATAATGACTTCGATGATGATTCCTTCCACAGAAATTCAGAAAAAAAACAAACAGTGCAAAAATGCCAACGTTTTAATATAAGAGAGGAGAAAAAGGCCAGTGTTGCATCTCTCAAAGAAATAAGGCAGAATAGTAAGAATTTAGATGAAGAAACCAAGGGAATAGTAGATGAGGAAAAAGAAATAAATAAGAAAAATTCTCAGTTGGAGAGCCTTTCTGAACCTCAGGACACTGGCATTCAGCAGTTAGTTTCTCAAAGGCATTCAACCCCCCAAAATAATAAGACCACATCAGAGCCCTCAAATCTGAACTGTGAGGCTATAATGAAATCATTAGCTCAATCATTTGCAGTGGTGGAAGTGGACAGATGGAATGAAGATAGAAAGAGCACCATAAAAACAAGTGACTTGACAGGATTTGGTGATACTGGTAGTGATGAAGAAGAATGCACAGTTACAGGTATCAGTGAAGATAGGAATGAAGGAAGGGATGTAGATTTTGAGTGTGAAACCAAACTATTCAAGTCTGAGCTCCACACATCCCTGGACAAAGGTGATTCTGTTTTATTAGTTCTCAGCAGTGATGAAAGCCAGCAATCTGAAAATAGTGAGAATGAAGAGGATACTGTGTGTTTTGTTGAAAATAATGGTCAAAAGGAATCATTAAATGGAGAATCAGAAAATATGTCATGTGACAATGCATTGTTTGTAATTGACACAACTCCTGGATTGAGTACTGATAAACATTTTTACTTGGATGAGGGAGACAAGGCAAGTGAGGTTGCCACTGAGGAGGAAAAAGAGGAGGAAGAGGATGAAAAAAGTGAAGAACCATCGGACCATGACAGAAACAAAGATAGTGAGTTTAGTGATGAAGACGAATTACTAAATAACACAAAGTCTAAACTGTAAGTTTTACCTTTATTTTTAAAAGTAAGTTTTTGATACATATTTCAAGCGGCTGATTTACCATAAAAATATAAAATATTAGAAAACATGGGAATTGAGAAAGCTACTGCCTCAGGTTCTTTATGGAAGAGCTCTTTAAAAAAAAAAAAAAGATTTATTTGACAGAGACACAGCGAGAGAGGGAACACAAGCAGGGGGGAGTGGAAGAGGGAGAAGCAGGCTTCCCGCGGAGCAGGGAGCCCGATGCGGGGCTCAATCCCAGGACCCTGAGATCATGACCTGAGCCGAAGGCAGACGCCTAACAACTGAGCCACCCAGGCGCCCCTGGAAGAGCTCTTTTATCCAGCATTTCCCTAGTCTATGGGTGCCTGTTAGTCATATTTTTCCCACCAGTGATCTATTCGAAATCATCTAAGATTTTCCTGCATGATTGTTAAGAGCAACATAAAAGGGAAGGAAAGGAACTTTTATCTTTTCTCCAACCTAATTGTAGAGAAGTTGAAAAATAATCACCTATAATCCTGTCTGTCACCCATTGAAAAGTGCTAACTTTGGGGGCTATTTCTTTAGTTTCTTTTTTTCTGTTTTAAATTTGTTTTTCTTAGGCACAGGGCTTTGGTGGCCCTGTATCCACTGGAAATACATCCTTGGCCAGAGTCTATAACAGATGCCCAGTTTTCACTCTAAACCAATGAAAGAAATCTCTGAGGCTAGCCTCAAGCATATTTATTTTTTAAAAGCCACACTCCTCCCCAGGATAATTCTAATATACCTTTAGGGTTGAGAATCACTGCCAAACCACTGCAGTAGAATGATTTCACTTTCCAGTAGAGGTTGATCAAAGCTTTCAACTGCTCAGTTTATATGAATAATTAGGGAAGAAAGTATCTGGAAGTCCAAATGTATTTGCTTATAAAAAGAACTTTTCAGTAATATAAAAGTAGAAATTCTTATTACATAAATATAGCAGGAGCCCAGATCCAACTGATTTGGTAGATATGGGCTATGATTTCTGTATTTTTTAAAATCTCTGGTGAGAAATACAGATGTTCACCACTGTTTAAAACTCACTGATTTAGGGGCGCCTGGGTGGCTCAGTTGTTAGGCGTCTGCCTTCGGCTCAGGTCATGATCCCAGGGTCCTGGGATCGAGCCCCGCATCGGGCTCCCTGTTCAGCGGGAAGCCTGCTTCTCCCTCTCCCACTCCCCTTGCTTGTGTTCCCTCTCTCGCTGTGTCTCTGTCTGTCAAATAAATAAAATCTTTAAAAAAAAAAAAACAACTCACTGATTTAGAGGCACTACCAAATACTCTTATTTACCCAGAAAAACATTCTAAGTTTGGATAACCTGGAAGTTCAGAACCTGTCTTTGTCATTGGGTTTTAGAGATAGAGGTATGTACATTTGTTAACTCACTATCTGTATATGAAGTTGAGCTGAATTGCCAGATGTATCTCCTCTTTGCAATTCTTTTCTTTATAAAATCCCTTTATGAAGTCTACTGGCATATAGTCTTTTTTTTTTTTTTTAAAGATTTTATTTATTTATTTATTTGACAGAAAGAGACATAGTGAGAGCAGGAACACAAGCAGGGGGAGTGGGAGAGGGAGAAGCAGGCTTCCCGCGGAGCAGGGAGCCCGATGTGGGACTCGATCCCAGGACCCTGGGATCATGACCTGAGCCGAAGGCAGACGCTTAACGACTGAGCCACCCAGGCACCCCCATATAGTCTTAATCCTCTTTAAATTAATCTGAGGAATAGATTTAGATGTGCTCCCAAAAAACTTTTTTCATTCATTATTCATCCTGGAATTTTCTTCTAAATGATTTTACTAGATTTAAAAACATGTGTTTCAGTTTTTCAGAAACTCCATTGTAAAAATAAGATTTCCTTTTTTGGGGGGGATCATTGGCAGTAAAAAGGGAGAGAAGAAAAAAGTAATTTTAAAAATACAGTCTCAGTTGTTTCCATTTTGATATGATTACTTGATCTTTAAGTGATCATTCTCTTTCAGCCTGAAGTTGACAAGCAGTAGCATAGACCCTGGTATGAGTATCAAGCAGTTGGGTGGTTTGTATATTAATTTCAATGCAGACAAACTACAGTCAAACAAGAGAACCCTAACACAGATCAAGGAGAAAAAGAAAAATGAGGTAAGTTACATAGTGTACTGTTGGTTTTCATAGAACTAACCGATCACTTCTAGACATGATTAGTCTTTGGTAAGAGACTAGTTTTCCTGCAGTGAAACCACATTAGCCTGCCGTGCTCCTTTTTTCCCCTTAAAGTCCTAGCTATAAAAGATAACACTTGAAAAATAAATTAATACAGGATCAGCATTCCTCTTGCACCCATCATTTATCCTAGGGGTTGTGTTTTCTTCTCTTTTCTTGCTGTATTTTTCATTCATAACTGGTATGGATACTGTTGAGAATCTGAAAACTGTGGGTGCCAATTCCCCCCACCAGGAAAAATATACATGTTCACATAGGCATAAAATTATACATGAAATTTCAGAAGGGAATTACAGGGTAGGTCATCTCATCCAAACCCTCAGCTTAAGTCTCATGGCATGGCTTCTCCAAATCTGTATTCTCTAGCCTTTCTGTCCTTCCAGGTCTTTAAATCCTGTTGTCTCTCTTGTCTGTTTATTCGTATGTGCTCAGGCACTTGACCTCCCTAATTGCCCTCCTTCGCTTCCCTACCTGAACCAGCTGCTACTTTAGTATTCTCTGGCCTGGTTAATGATGCCAAACTCTTTTCCTTTTGCAGTCAGTCACTGAACCTAGCAGATGCTGTTGCTAACATACTCTACTTTGTTCCCTCCTTTTCACGCCACTGTCACTGGCCAGTGGCAGGCCTTTGTTTTTCATCCACACTTCTGCAATAGCCTCCTTACTCTTTTCTCCAAGCCGCCCTCTGTACTTTTGGTAGATTTCTCTTTTTAAAAACAAAAAAGGGTACCTAGCTGGTTCAGTCAGAAGAGCATGCGACTCTTAATCTCCAGGTTGTAAGTTAGCGCCCCATGTTGGGGGTAGATACTACTTTAAAACAAAACGAAATGAAACAAACCTGACTATGATATTCTCCTGTTTAAGTCCCTCAGAACGTTCAAGGTGCTTCTGTTCTTTCAGCTCTGTCCACCTGCTATGTTCCACCACTGAAGACTACTGTAGTTCCCTGAACATACCCTGCTCTTTCCCAGGCCAGTGCAGAGATCATAGATCACTGCCTTTGGGAAACATTCTCTGACTCTAGTCCTCTCCACCACCTCCTCTGTGCTTCTGCAACACCAAGTATAGATTTGACTCATTATTGATCATATTGTAATTGTCATTTTACTGTTTTTTTAGCTTTATATTCCTAAAACCGGATTTCTCAACCTGGGCTGGATGATTCTTTGTTGTGGGAGGCTGTCTTATTCATTGTAGGATATGTAGCAGCATCCCTCATGTCTACCCACTAGTTGTCAATAGCATCCACCCCCCCACACCCCTCTGCACATACACCCCAAAAGTGTCTTCAAACATTGTCATTTGCTCCCAGTTGAGAACCACTGTCCTAAAGCTCTTAATAATCTGGTAAATAAATATCAAGCTTGAAAGTCTAGACTGCTTCTCTACTATCTAGAAACTTCTAGGGGATTTGGAGATTTCTGAATTGATAATTTCAAATGTTACTGACCAAATCAGTATTTCTGTGAACTGTTTCGAGGGCCAAGGAGCAATCTTCTTTAGTTCATACCCTATGGGAGATGACAAATTATCCTGAAGACCTTTTAGTGATGTAAACAGTATTAATGACAGTATTTGTTCATCCTATGCAAACAATGCAGCAGTCATTTAGGAAAAGATTAACAGGTTTGACTACACAAAATTTTAAAACTTTCACAATTAACACCTTAACAAAGACAAGTAAAAGACCATAGGTTAATACCACTAAGATACAAAATACCAGTGTTCTGGGAATACAGGTGTTCTCCCACAGAACACTTATACATAGCTAATAAATACACAAAAAGATGATCAACAGCAAAGGAAAACAGCCATGAGGCACCAGTGAAAACACACAAAAAGATAATACCCAGTGCTGGTGGCAATGTAAAGGAAAAGGGCACTGATTAACTGTTGGTAGGACTTAACAAATTACTTGAATGAAAGGCAATTTAGCAGTACCTGTCAATATTTAAGTGATGCATTTTGGAATCATACAAAAATAATCACAAGTGTGCAGAGATGATGTTTACAGTGTTCAATGGAAAAAGGTTTGATGGAGACTTAAACTAAATGTCAGAAGAAAAATGTTAGTGCGTAACAGCTATTAAAAGGAATGAAGTTGATCTATGTGTGAATTAATACTGAAAGACCATCTAAGATATATTGTTGAATTGCAAAAAGATTTATCTAGATAGATGTATATGTTGTTTAATCGAATCTATATCACTGTACGTATTAATAATACAGTCTTCTTAGATCAGAAGAAGCTGTTTTACCAACATCAAAAGAACTTATTAAAGACTAGTTAGGTTTGGTTGGTTGGTTGGTTGTTTTCAGAGACTTCAAGAGCCATTTTGGCATTTGTTCCTGTTGACTTTATTTTCCAGTTTGGTGCAAGTGGCTGGTTTAGTAAGCCAATAAATACGTTAGACACATTAATGTAAATCTGATATATGCTGATTCAGTTTAGAAAAAGAAATTTAAAATAAATGAAGTTTCCTAAAATAATCCTCAGTGTGCCTTCTAAAGCATTTTTATTGTGATATAATTTACAGACTTAAGGACCGAAACAACTTTGCAGTAGCATGGTTGTGTATAAAGAGGGTTAATATATTTGGAGTAGTCGTCAGTGTGGGAGATACTTCTCTTATAAGGCAAGAGATGTTGGAAAAATTATATGGTATCTGATACTATCTTAAAACCACTTTAATATTTTTATAGCTTTTGCAGAAAGCCGTCATTACTCCTGATTTTGAAAAAAACTACTGTGTCCCACCATATAGTGAATCAAAGCATCAACTTCAGAAAAAACGCAGAGTAAGTATAGGGACTCTCATTATTTAAATTGTTGAGGTGTGTTTGACTATATATATTCAGCTTATACAACACGGTTGTATAATTTAAAAATATGTATTTTCGGGGCACCTGACTAGCTCATTCAGTAAAGCATGCGACTCTTGATCTCAGGGTTTTGAGTTCTACCCCACATAGGGTGTAGAGATTACTTTAAAAAATTAAATTTTAAAAAATAATAAAAATAAAATCTTAAAAAATATATATTTGCAAAGAAAGTTATCACAAATTTAAGGGCCCATAAAATATAGTTCCATAAACACAGTTTATATAGATTTTCACAAAGTGAAAGTGCACCAAGTGGCGCACATAGAGAACAGCTTTTTTTTCCCCCTTTCTTAAAACAGTGACAGCCAGCATATAAGGTCATTGTCCATACTTCTTGGCTTATAGGTACTGTTCACCAAGAGCTAAGAGCTCCATTGCAGGCCTTTGTAGGGACCTTAATGTAGCCACCTAAAAACCCGGGTCTCTGTAGTCTGCCCAGTGAGAGGATAGGAAACTTTTCTTTTGTAAAAATAGGGGATTGTTTCCATCTGCCATTTCAACTAATAAGTGTAAAGAAGTTATTAAGAGAGCTTGAAGGAAATTTGAGGGTGGTGCACCAGTAATGTCTCATCACTAATATGGAACATGCTGGCACATGGTAGACACTCCATAATGTATGAATGAAATAAAAATAAAATTAAGTAAATAACTTGCTAGGAGTTTCCAAAAAAATGTAACTTTTTTTTAAATTTTAGAAATAATGCAGATTTCTGGACTTGTTGGAGTGACTTTGAGTCACCTTGGTGACTGAATAAAATTGTTAATATTTAAATATAAGCTCCAGAAGTGAAAATGTTTTTATACATTATCTCTTGTGTAGGCTCTACTGCACAATAAAAATTGAGGCTGTGTATTGTTCTCCCAGCAAGTCCGCCGTTCTTTTTTTTTTTTTTAATTTTTATTTATTTTACTTGAGAGAGGGAGAGAGCACAAGCTGGGGGAGCAGCAGCAAGAGAGGGAGAGGCAGACTCCCTGCTAAGCAGGGAGCTGACTTGGGGCTCAATCCCAGGACCCCAGGATCATGATCTGAGCTGAAGGCAGACACTTAACCGGCTGAGCCACCCAGGCGCCCCTGCAAGTCAGCAGCTCTTACTAAGATAAAAAAAATAAATTTTAAGGAGCCCTCATTTATGAAACTGATAATACTGTGCCTAATTTACCAAAGAAAACACTGTGATTTAACTTCTTTTATGAAAAGTGAATCTGGGGACTAATACATTCTGTTAAGTAACCTCATTTGTTTTTAATTCATGAAGTTTTTTGTGTATATCATTTTGGAGGGAATGAGGTATAGTTTATACATTGCTTATTAAAGTTAGAATTTTCTGTTTATTTTTGAAATCTGAATTTCAGAAAGAACGACAGAAAACAGCAGGTGATGGCTGGTTTGGTATGAAAGCTCCGGAATTGACAGATGAACTAAAAAATGATCTCAGAGCACTGAAGATGAGAGCTAGCATGGACCCAAAAAGGTTTTACAAGAAAAATGATAGGGATGGCTTCCCCAAGTACTTCCAGGTATGAAACAAACAGTAATGACGGTGATGTTCTGTGGATTTTAGTTTGGAAGGCATTATAGTGTTCTTACTGTTTACTCTTTAAATAGATGAATATTTATAGGGCACATCTGCTTACGCTGTATAATAATGGGCAGAACCCAATTCAGACAACCTTTTGGCCACCAGCTTGTAATGGCATTCCATATAGAGAGAAGGTGTTGCAGATGGTAACTAAGTTTCCAGGTCATACCTCTAAAAGTTATGGAACCTCTAAGCTGGGTATACCATATATGAATAGTATTAGCCTAACAGCAAGAAGCCTTACATGATGGAGGAGGAAATAGGGAATCATTTGCACCAAACTCTTCTTCTCCAGATAAAGGGGCATCCCCAGGCAAATGCTGAAAATAAGTTAAAAGTTGGTTTTCAAAGTGTTTCCAGATGAAAATCCAGATGATTCACCCTCTGGTAGCTGTCACCTTCATTCTGTTCTTTCTTGTCACTTATCTGAATTTCTCTAATAGTCCTTTACCTCCAGGTCTGCTCTCTGTCTGTAGAATAGAGTCTATACAGTCTGCACTCAGACCAGCTTACCAGCTCTTCTGTCACGTAGCCCTCTTAAGCTCCAACACACTTGGAGGAACCTTGACCTCCCTTAGGTAGAGTTGGTCACTTTTTTTTGAGGGCATCTATAGTGTTTTGTCTAGCATAATAATTATGTTATGCTTTAATCTTTTAGTTACTTGTCTGTGGATTTTCCTTAAGACTATGGGCTCCTTGCTGGCAGGGACCAGATATTCTTTGTCTTTATTTCCCAAACACTTAGCACAGTATGTGGCACATAGTGGACACTGTAAATTTTACTTGGTTGAATGTAGGAACAAATGCAGAGTGGTTACTAAGAAGGTTCTATGCTGGTAGCATTTATGATGACCTAGGAGACCAAAGAGGTGTATAGTAGAGTTTATGTGTCAATTTTATTAAATTGGGAGACTAAAAAAAGAATTGATATTCTCTGTCCCACTTTTCTAGTTACACTGTTCATGAAGAATTTACTGTCCTGCCTAGTGCTAAATTATATAAAAGGATTTTTGGCCTTTTATTATAAATTCTAATGAAATGTCATTAGTAGGACCCAGTGCCAATTGAATAGGTGACTTATTTTTGCTTTAAAAAATGGCAAACTGACTTTAGTATTGGTATCATTTAAGTTGTGTTTTCCATTCCTTTCTATAAATAGACTTTGTTAGAGCTACCCTGAAATATGAAAGCAATTTAGCATTCAAGTATTGCATGACTTATTTCAATCAATTGCTCATAGATTGGAACCATTGTTGACAATCCAGCTGACTTCTACCATTCACGAATTCCCAAAAAACAAAGGAAGAGAACTATTGTGGAAGAATTGCTGGCTGATTCTGAGTTCAGAAGGTAAAGGAATTTATGTTTCACTTTGTATTATGTAAGTTTTCCTTTAGAATATATATAAACTTTAAAATTTCAAGTAATTTTTAAATGGCTTTAGCACAGTGTCTCAACAGCAGCACTATTTACATTTTGGATGGGATAATTCTTTATTAGGGGGAACTGTCCTGTGTATTGTAGAATGTTTAACAACATCCCTGGCCTCTACCTACTAGATGCCAGAAGCACCCCATCCCCAATTTATGACAAAAATGATGGGCGCAACATGTCCACATATCCCTTGTTGGGCATAAGCATTCCCAGTTTAGAACCACTGCTTGAGATGGAAGCTTGAAAATATTTGACTGGCTAGAGGAGAATGAGCCTGCAAAGGAGACTAGGAAAGAATAGCTAAGAGGTTATTAAGAAAACCAGGATGGCATAGTGTCACAGAAGTCAAAGGAGAATATTTCGAACAGATACAAACTGGAGGGAGTGGTTAACAGGAATAATTGCTGCTGAGAGATCAAATTGGGTGATGGGCATTAAGGAGGGCATGTGATGTAATGAGTACTGGGTGTTACATACAACTGATGAATCACCGAACTCTACCTCTGAAACTAATAATACACTGTATGTTAATTAATTGAATTTAAATAAAACCAAAAAAAAAAAGAAAAACTAAAAACTTCCTTTGGATATACATGGAGGTCAAAATATTCTTGCCAGGAGTTTTAGGGGAGTGATGAGGAGGAAACCAGACTGGAGAGGATTGGAGAGTTTGTTGAAAATGAAGAAATGGAAACAGTTCTTTGAAGTTTGAGAAGAGGGAGAGAGGCAAGACTAGTGGTGGGCATGGAGTTGGAGGATTTTTTTTTTAAGATGGGAGCATTTGGGAATATGTTTAAATGTACTTGAAGCAGTTATGTATATATTATAGGAGATTTAAAAGCATACCTCATATAGAAACCCTTGTTGAACTTCCAGATTGGTTTAATAGCAAAAGTGAAAAGAACTGTTAAGCGTTTTAAAAACTTTGTCAGCATGGAAAACAGATTTAACACAAATGTTATGTATGTAAGCCATTTAATTAGTCTGGGTAATGGTAAAAAATTTTTAGAAATAAGCAGTGCTCTTTTCTCACTTATTACTCTCTCCTTGGAAATCTCATCCCCTGCAGGGCTTTAATTACAATGTATATACTGTTGGCTTCCAAATGCAGGATGTGTAATCCAGATCGCTCCTGAGTCTAGACCCACATATCCAGCTGCAGCCTCAGGAACATCCAGGGGTTTCTCATAAGCACCTCTATGAGTTAACTTGGCCTTTCCTGTACAATCTAATCCTCTCCTAGTGCTCTGTATCTCATGACTGAACAGCATGACCATCCATCCATCACCAAGTCCTTGACACCTCCTCCTTCAGTCCACATTCATACTGGCAGTCTCTCCCATTTCCTAACTATCTCTCAAGCCTTTTTCTCCATCCCCACACAGGCATGGTGCAAGCATGTTAACTGTGTTCTGGTTAAAAATTGACCTGTATTTTGTAATCTTGATGATAGCAATCTCAGAAATCACAGCAATGTTGATAGTGCTTTCACTAAAAAGTAATAGCGTGAGGAAGTTGGGGGAGTAAACTAAAAATTTTGTAGAATGAAACTCATAAAATTGCAGGTTAGAGGTAGTGTTCTTAGTTCATTGTTCCCATACTTTAGTCACTGAGTACCATTTTCACAATGTTTGCATTATCTGTATGCTGCCTGCTTTATTTTAAAAGGAAACTTTATATTGTCTACTGTAAATGGGTTTGTTGGCTTATAATTTTTGTAATGTCCATGAGGATAAATACATTGCTTAAAGTGAATATTGTCTACCACCTAAATTTATGTATCACACTATGTGAAACCTCTACTAGCCCATCTCCATGGAATGTTTTAATTCCTTCTACAACATTCTCTTTAAGAAGTTTCTGGCCTCTGAACACTTTGGGATAGGGAACTTCATTGAATGTATTTAATGCGGCATATGTTCATTAGTAGGAATGTCTTGGGACAGAAGAAGTAAGTGTAATACACAGGAAAAATGTGATTTTCTGTGTTGTATGTGGTTTTTGGTTTTGTTTGTTGAGGTATAATTGACTTACAGTGTTCCATTAGTTCCAGGTATGCAATGTAGTGATTTGACAATTCTGTACATTACAAAATGCTCACTGCTCCAAGTGTAGTCACCATCTGTCACCATACAACACTGTTGTAATATTATTGACGGTATTGCCGATACTGTGCTTTTCATCTCCAGGACTTAACTGTATAACTGGAGGTTTGCAGTATCCCCTTCACCTATTTCACCCATCCCCCACCTCTGGCAACCACCAGTTTATTCTCTGTCTCTCTCTTTGAGGAACCTCCATACTGTTTTGGTGCAACCATAGTGGTTGTGCCAAATTACATTCCTACCAACAAAAGCACAAGGGTTCCTTTTTCTCCACATCCTCACTAACACTTGTTACTTCTTTTTGATACTAGGCATTCTGACTAGTATTTGAGAGTCTGTTCTGTTTGCTTTTTTTAGATTCCACTTATAAGTGAAATCGTATGGTATTTATCTTTCTCTGCGTGACTTACTTCACTCAGCTTAATACCCTCTAGGTCCATCCATGTTGTCCTGAATGGCAAGATTTCATTCTTTTATATGGCTCAGTAATATTCCATTGTGTGTGTGTCTGTCTGTATATGTCTGTGTCTCACATCATCTTTATTCATTCATCTATTGATGGGACACTTGGGTTGCTTCCATATCTTGGCTATTGTAAATAGTGCTGGGATGCATATATCCTTTTGAGTTAGTGTTTTTGTTTTATTTGGGTAAATACCCAGTAGTGGAATTACTAAGTCATATGGTATTTTTATTTTTAATTTTTTGAGGAACCTCTATACTGTTTTCAGTGGTGGTTACACCAATTTACATTCCTACAAACAGTACATGAAGGTTCCCTTTTCTCCAAATCCTTGCCAACATTAGTTATTTCTTGTATTTTTGATACCAGCCATTCTGACTGGTATGATGTGATGTCGCACTGGGATTTTGATTTGCATTTGCCTTTTGATAAGTGATGTTGAGCATCTTTTCATGTGTGCGTTGCCCTTCTGTATATCTTCTTTGGGGAAATGTTCAGATCCTCTGACCATTTTTTAATCAGATTGTTTGGTTTTTTGGTGTGAGTTGTGTAGGTTACTTATATATTTTGGATATAACTCTTTATCATTTGCACATAAATCTTCCATTCAGGGGCGCCTGGGTGGCTCAGTTGGTTAAGCGACTGCCTTCGGCTCAGGTCATGATCCTGGAGTCCTGGGATCGAGTCCCGCATCAGGCTCCCTGCTGGGCAGGGAGTCTGCTTCTCCCTCTGACCCTCCTCCCTCTCATGCTCTCTGTCTCTCATTCTCTCTGTCTCAAATAAATAAATAAAATCTTTAAAAAAGAAAAAAAAAATCTTCCATTCAGTAGGTTGCCTTTTTGTTTTATTGGTTTCCTTTGCTCTGCAAAAGCTTTCTATTTTGGTGTAGTCCCACTTGTTTATTTTCAGTTTTATTCCCTTGCCTGAAGAGACCTATCCATAAATATTTTATTGCTAGGACTTAATGTCCCGAGAGATTGGTGCCTATGTTTTCTTATAGGAGTTTTACGGTTTTACGTCTGAGATGTAGGTCTTTAATCCATTTTGATTTTTGCGTGTGGTATAAGAAAGTGGTCCAGTTTCATTCTTTTGCATATAGCTGGTTTTCCCAACACCATTTATTAAAAAGACTTTTTCTCCATTGTATATTCTTGCCTCCTTTGTCATAGATTAATTGACCATGTAAGTGTGTTTATCTCTGGGCTCTCTTCTGTTCCACTGATCTGTTTTTGTGCCAGTACCTTATTGTTTTGATTACTGTAGCTTTGTAGTGTATCTTGAAATCTGGGTTTATGATACCTCCAGCTTTGTTGTTCTTTCTGAAGATTGCTTTGGCTATTTGAGGTCTTTTGAGGTTCCATACAAATTTTAGGATTATATGTTCTAGCTCTGCAAAAAATACTATTGTGATATTTTGCTAGGAATTACATTGAATCTGTATATTGCACTGGGTACTATGGACATTTTAAGAGTATTAATTCTTCCATGAGCATGATATCTTTCCATTTGTTTGTGTTGTCTTCAATTTTTTTCATCAGTGTCTTACAGCTATCAGAGTATAGGTCTTTCAATCTCCTTGGTTAAATTTATTCCTAGGTATTTTGTTCTTTCTGTGGTACAATTGTAAATGGGATTGTTTTCTTAACTTTTCTTTGTTACTTTGTTATTAGTGTATAGAAACACAGCATTTTGGTATATTAATTTTGTATCCTGCAGCTTAACTGAATTCATTTATTCTGATAGTTTTTGATGGTGTCTTTAAGGTTTTCTTTATGTAGTGTCATGTCATCTGTAAATAGTTACAGTTTTACTTCTTCCTTCCCAATTTGGATGCCTTTTATTTTTCTTTTTTAATTGCTGCAGCTAGGATTTCTGGTACTATATTGAATAAAAGCAGTGAGAATGGACATCCTTGTTTTTTTCCTAATCTTAGAGGGGAAAGTTCTCGGCTTTTCACCATTGGGTATCACGTTAGTTGTGTATTTTTCATATGTGGCCTTTATTGTGTTGAGGTATGTTTCCTCTAAACCCACTTTGTTGAGTTTTTTTTTTTTTATTATGTTATGTTAATCACCATACATTACATCATTAGTTTTTGATGTAGTGTTCCATGATTCATTGTTCACATATAACACCCAGTGCTCCATTTAGTACGTGCCCTCTTTAATACCCATCACCAGGCTAACTCATCCCCCCACCCCCCTCCCCTCTGGAACCCTCAGTTTGTTTCTCAGAGTCCATAGTCTCTCATGGTTCGTCTCCCCCTCCGATTCCCCCCCTTCATTTTTCTCTTTCTGCTCTCTTTTTTTTTTTTTTTTTTTTTTAACATATAATGTATTATTTGTTTCAGAGGTACAGGTCTGTGATTCAACAGTCTTACACCATTCACGGCACTCACCATAGCACATACCCTCCCCATTGTCTATCACCCAGCCACCCCATCCCTCCCACCCCCCACCACTCCAACCCTCAGTTTGTTTCCTGAGATTAAGAATTCCTCATATCATGAGATCATACGATACCTGTCTTTCTCTGATTGACTTATTTCGCTCAGCATAATACCCTCCAGTTCCATCCACGTTGTTGCAAATGGCAAGAGTTCATTCCTTTTGATGGCTGCATAATATTCCATTGTGTGTGTGTGTGTGTGTGTGTGTATACACACACACACAACATCTTCTTTATCCATTCATCTGTCAGTGAACGTCTTGGCTCTTTCCATAGTTTGGCTATTGTGGACATTGCTGCTATAAACATCGGGATGCATGTACCCCTTTGGATCCCTACATTTGTATCTTTGGGGTAAATACCCAGTAGTGCAATTGCTGGGTCATAGGGCAGCTCTATTTTCAACTTTTTGAGGACCCTCCATACTGTTTTCCAGAGTGGCTGCACCAGCTTGCATTCCCACCAACAGTGTAGGAGGGTTCCCCTTTCTCTGCATCCCCACCAACATCTGTCATTTCCTGACTTGTTAATTTTAGCCATTCTGACTGGTGTGAGGTGGTATCTTGTTGAGGTTTTGATTTGGATTTCCCTGATGCCGAGCGATGTTGAGCACTTTTTCCTGTGTCTGTTGGCCATGTGGATGTCTTCTTTGGAAAAGTGTCTGTTCATGACTTCTGCCCATTTCTTGATTGGATCATTTGTTCTTTGGGTGTTGAGTTTGATAATTTTTTTATAGATTTTTAGAGTTTTTAAATCATGAATGGATGTTGCACTTTGACTTTCTTTAAAAGATGGGGGGCGGTGGTCAGAGGGAGAGAGATTGAATCCTAAGCAGGCTCCATGCCCAGCAGGAAGCCCACCACGGGGCTTGATCTCACTACCCTGAGATCATGACCTAAGCCAAAATCAAGAGTCCCAACACTTAACCAACTGAGCCACCTAGACACCTCAACAAATGGTTTGCTTTTTTTTTTTTGATCACCTATTAAGATGATCATACGGTTTTTATTCTTTTCTTGTCAATATACATTGATTTGCAAATATCGTACTGCTCTTGCATGCATGGATTAAATCCCACTTGATCGTGGTAAATGATGTTTTTAATGTATTGTTGGATTCGGTTTGCTAATATTTTGTTGAGGACTTTTGCGTCTTTGTTCATCAGGCATATTGACCTGTAGTTTCTTTTTTTGTAGTGTCTTTGTCTGGCTTTGGTATTAGAGAAATGCTGGCCTCGTGAAATGAATTTGGAAGTTTTCCTTCCTTTTCTATTTTTTGGAATAGTTTGGGAAGAATAGGTATTTAACTCTTCTTTAAATATTTGGAAGAATTCAGCTGTGAATCCATCTGGTCTTGAATTTTGTTGGGAGTCTTTTGATTACTGATTCACTTTTGTTACTAGTAATAGATCTGTTCAAATTTTCTATTTCTTCCTGGGAGCCTGGGTGGCTCAGTTGGTTAAGCAACTGCCTTCGGCTCAGGTCCTGATCCTGGAGTCCCGGGATTGAGTCCCACATCGGGCTCCCTGCTCAGCGGGGGGTCTGCTGCTCCCTCTGACCCTCTTCCCTCTCGTGCTCTCTGTCTCTAATTCTCTCTCTCTCAAATAAATAAATAAAATCTTTAAAAAAAATAAAAAATTTTCTATTTCTTCCTGATTATTTAGTTTTAGACGATTGTCTGTTTTTAGCAATCTATCCATTTTTTTCTAGATTGTCCCAATTTATTGGCATATACTTTTTCATAGTATCCTCTTGTAATTCTTTGTATTCCTGTGGCGTCTGTTAATTCTTCATTTCTGATTTTGAGTTCTTTTTTTTCTTGATGAGTCTGGCTTTTTTGTTTTTTTTAATCTCTATTTTATTTCTGCTCTAATCTCATTTTTTCCATCCTTGATTAGGTTCAAACTGTACTGATAAGCCCTTCTTTTGAACTTCTGTGGACTACATTTATCAATATTTGCCACAGTGGCAATTAAAATTTAAAAACTTTAAAAATATTTATTGATTCCTTTTAAAATAAAACATCCCATTACACATTGACATATATTTTCATGAACAAAACAAAAATGATTTACTGCAGATCTCTTTAATGTCTGGCTTAAAGATAGTTGGAGCCTCATACCTGCTTCTACCTCAGTCTGTTATTTTTACATTTTCATCCTATAAAAATCTTTAAAGCATTTGATATCATCTGGTAACTGGATATGGTACATGGGCCTCCAGTGGTTGAAAGTTTTCAAAAGCCCTCCCTTATAGTTGCCATTTTTTTCTCACTAGACTGCAGGCTTTACGAGGGTAGGGACTATGGTTGTCTTGGTCACTGCTCAGTCCCCCAGCTCCAAATATGGCTCCACAAGGTAATTTAGTACAAATATGCTAAAATAGTGAAAATGCAAACAATTTTTTGAGATTTAGTAGTTACACCACCCCATCACCACCCCCATTACATTAACTTCTGTTATACTTTAGAACTTAAAAGTTTGGTTTTCTTTTTAGATATAACCGAAGGAAGTACTCAGAGATCATGGCTGAAAAAGCAGCAAATGCAGCAGGAAAGAAGTTTCGAAAGAAGAAGAAATTTCGCAATTAAGATTCACCAAGCAAGCCACAGTATTTTATATCTCCCTTTATTTACTCAAGATGTTTTGAAAATTAACATCATCATACAAATTAATATAGACTGGCCCTGTTTGAAAAAAGTTAACTTGAGGGCAAATCAATCATATACTCTTTGGGATAAAAACAGGTGTGTCTACAAAAGATCCACCCATGCTTAGCCCCTTTGAGGGAGAAAAAGGGAAACCTCAACCATTTTAAGATGAATAACATTTTTGTAAAGTTTTCAACACTTGGTTATTTGAAGAAAATTGAATTAAAAACATTTAGAAGGTATAAAGTTTGTTAATATATAAAGAAAACTTTAAAATTACACAAACAAAGCTAAACAATACAGTAGAGTAAGCGCATGCATGCATGTGTGTGTGTGTGTGTGTAGGGGGAGATGGTATACCAGAAATGTCATGTGTGTTTGTGTGTAGGGGGGATACAGTATACCCGAAATGCCCTTTTCTAAGTTCAGGTCCAGAAAATTGGTAAAGCTGGGATACAGAAATCTGCTGCTTGTGAGCATAAAAGTCACAGTTGAAACCAAAGTATTCTTGGAGCAAATGTATGTTAGTATATGACAGAAGAACTAAATGAAGCTATATAAAAAGGACTTAAAAAGGTAATGAAGACTTCCTAGAAAGTTTGGGTTAAAGGTGGACGAAGCAAGAGAACTGTTTTCTTTAGGAAATGAAACAGGAGGAAAGATTAATTTTATCCAGAGTCAGTGTTGTGTTCCAGGTGAATTAGGCTTATTAAATCAGTATAATTTTAACTTGGTCAGACATAATTTTAAAGTGGTTCAGTTTATTTCATCTCCAATAGCAGTATACATCCTGACTAATCTCTTTGTGGTACCTAAGGAGTGTTGGCCATTTCTCGTAATGCTTCTTAGTGGGTTCTTTCTTTAATATCATTATTTATGGAACCTCTATTTTCCCAGCAAACTGTTGGGATTTCAGTAAATATAAAATTTCGTATTTTGTATTTATTGCTTGGGATCATAACCAACCTAGTAATAGAACTGACAGTGATATTCATAGGTGGAGTTAGGCAAGTATCTTATCTGTTCTCTTTTACAGAAAAACTTTCATTCCAGGAATATTAAGTTTTGCCTTTCACTGGGTAAAATAAGGACCCGCTATGAAAGAATTAAATACCAAAACAAGAAGAAGAAGTAATAGTTAGTTTTACCCTTTGCATATTCTTCCAGAAGGAGTCGTTCTCAGAACATTGCTTCAACTCATGCTACTCTGCCGTAAGAACAGTCAAAATTGTTAATCATTTGGTTTGATGTCTCTGTGCACAGAAAGTTGAGGACTTACCCAGTTTTTCTCAGGGTCAAGGCGTGGATCAACTTCTTACCTACCATATGATTTTTGGGATGGTTTCTGACTCATGAATGCTACTATAGGTTGAATTATTTGGTACTTGAAAACTGCAGCCATGACATATTTGTGATGTTACGGTTTGTATTACAAGTAAAACAACATTAGTGACCTCTAATCTTTGCCACACAAAAAGCAGCATTAGAGCTTTCTGGATTAGAAGGCAGTGCTAAGGAAAGAGAACTGAGCCTAAGCTCTAAGTCCGGCTCTGTCCTTAAGCCACCTTAGATGTATGTGTTTTCAGTATTTACTTTTAGTTACATTTTAACATGCTCTCTTTTGTTGTCTCCACAGATTCATTTTTAATTTTATTTCACTATATGCATTTTTGTAAGCCACTTAGAACAAGATAGAGTTTTTAACAATTACAAAGTACTTAGTGAAATAAACTGAAATGATTCAACTAAAAATCATTTAAAGTCACCTCTGTTAATGTTTATTTTAAGGAACTGAAACTGCTAATACAGCTTCTTCATCTCAAATGTGATCTTCAGAAATTTATTTTAAATCATCAAAACTAAAGAAGAGTAACAAAGTATAATTACAGGTAAAGGTCAGAAGGAAGTCTTAGTGTTCCCAGCCTTCTGCAAATATCTGGATATTTGAATAACGGATGTATTTTCCTTGGTTTTTTAAGCAAAGCAATTCTGTGAGAAGCAGGTTTTAGTGATTTTTGGCTTGTGTCACTGAAGGTTCACTTACTAGAACTCGTCTAAGGCTTCCTGACTATGAGGAAGTACCCTGACTCCTCAGCTGAGAAGCATTACAAAGCATACAAAGTGCGGACATGGTAGAGTGCGAATGAAAGAAGGGCCTTTAAAATACTGTTAAGAGCTCGAAAGATTTCTGAAACACCCATCTTGCTGCACACTGCTTTTAAGACCACTTATTAAAATGCCTGTAACACAACTAGTTTGTTAAGTGAGGAAATTAGGGAGAGAGGAAAAGGACAGTGGAAGAAATCAGATGGAGCCAGGGTAAAGTTAGTAAAATGATTCTGTGAAACTGTGTAACAGTTGGTAAAGGTGGGCCCTGAGCTTCCTAGTATCTAACACAAAAATCAGTTCTGTGTTCACTATTATTAGAAGATAAAAACAAACTAACTGCTTTAAAGAAACCCCAATATTCCTAAGACCTGAGAAACTTCTCATGGGTCCCCATAAAAGGATGTCTGATAAGAGGCTATGCTTGGCTGCCCAGAGGATACATGGCAGGATTTTAAAGAAAAAGAAAAAGGGGGTTCAATACAACCTTCAGTAACTGGGATAAACTTACAGGATCCCACTCTTAGTAAGTTACAAGAAAACATCAAGTGACAAAAATGTTAATACCATTTCTGAGGTATGTACTTTTCAGTTCAGTCTCTCAATCACTGACAACTATTGTTCAGAGTGATAACCTAGAACATTTTACTGAAAGATTTCAGTAAGGGTTGAAACAAAAAATGCTTTCTAACAAGCATCTGACCAATTGAGATGTAAAATGCAGGTCTTCTCATGATTGCACAAGTTAAAAGTGAGGAAGAAGTGTTTCTAATTTAAAAGTGAAGAAGGAATGCTTCCAATTACTAATAGCTTCCAAGAAGCAGGGTTAATAGCATGACCTGTAATTAAATGTCATAGCAGATCAGTGTTTTATCAAAGAAATAAAACCTCAAAATGAACTTAGGAAATGTGAAGTTGGATAACTGGAGAGAGGTTCTGAAGTGGAAAAAAGTTCTCAGTAAATACTTAACATGAATGGTGAGGAAGGCAAAATTATTTTAGGTGATGGGTGGTGGACAGTAGATGTCTCAGTTATTGGTGCATAACAAATCACCCCCAAAACTCAGTGACTCAAAAGCACCACCATATTCTCACATATCCTGATTTGGTGGGCCAGGGCTCAGCTGGGTGGTTTGTACTCTACAGCGTATCGAATGAGGTCACTCAGTGACTCAGCTAGTAGTGGAGTTGATCTGGAAGGTTCAAGACACTTCCCTAACATGCTTATTAGCACCTTGTAATTTTTTTTAAAAAATGAGGACATACGAAATTTTTCTTCAGGATAGCACTGAATTGCTCTAAAACCAAAAGACCCACACACTTTGTGTGGCACTGAAGGCTCTGGCCTGGTTAAGTGGGCTGAATTCATAGTTATTTAGGAAATTCTACTCCCCACCTACCTCCTTCCTTTGTCCTAAGGGAGAAGGAGTTGCTAACTAGATTGAAGTGAGCCCAAGATTCTGGGCTCTGTTTTACAAATGAAGAGAGTTACTGTATTAACAGGTCAGAAAACGTGCCATCACTCTTCCTGTTAGGGTGCAGGCCTGTCATCCTTTCTTCCAAAAAAGATGGGAAACTGGACTTGGGGCTTTCCTGAGCCACGCTTTCTCTACTAAAGGTAGGGGGTGATGGGAACGTAAGTTGTTCCATCACAACTTAGCTGAGAAGTGATACAGTTGAGGCGTCTCTTCCAGCTATGAGCTGAGTGGTGCTTTCTTCCTTGGGGCTCTTATGGTTACAACCAGAACTGCAAAGGAGGGACTGGCAAGGCTTAGACACCAAATCCTGACCTTAAATCCCATGCAACATACGGAAATTCTGAGGTTTTCCTGACCTTTTTAAAATGACAGGAAAGAAATATGTGTTTGTAGTTGTCTATGTGAAAAGAAATGTTTGAAGCTTTGTTCAGTCTCTCATTCCTACACCTACCGCCCCACCTCACGCCCCATAACTCGGGAAGTTCAGAAGAGTAACATATTAAAGTACAAACAAGACACATTGTGATTAACTGGACTTTTTCTGTATCTTAAAGTCAGTATAGTATCAGTAAGACTTATTTTTTCCTTAAGTGTGTTTGTGCATATATGCACACATTTACACACATACACACACCAAAATAGCAATGAGATGAGGAGAACAAGTCATAGCTTACTTCTGGAATGTGAAGCTCATTAAAACCTTGGCTAATTTATCTAACAGCTGCCCTTCCAGCCAAATCTGCCACTTCTCCCCACTTCAGCTTCACCACAGGTCATCTCACCTGCCTTGATGTGGAGGGGACCAGGTATCAAAGTGAGATGAAAGGGTACTAAACAACTGGGCCAGTGCCTTCCCCATGCCTTGGTGACCGCAACTGCTGCCCTTTTTACATATTTTACCTTTAGAGAGACCCTTGGTTTTTCCTTTAGTGAGATCACTATCCTGATTTAATGAAAAACATTTCAAGATGACCCTACAGTTCCTCAGTCTCCAATTCAATGTCATCAATTCCAGTTACCCTCATTTCCACTCCACTTCCGCCAATTGCTATCCTTGCCTTAGACTTGTTACTTGAAACTGTTCAAAGGTCAAGATTCTGAACTCTCAGGGTAGGGTACCCCAATCTGTTAGCCTTTTTTTTTAAGATTTTATTTATTTGAGAGAGAAATTAAGAGAGTGAGTGGGAGGAGGGGCAGAGGGAGAAGCAGACTCCCCGCTGAACAGGGAACCTGACACAGGACTCGATCCCAGGACTCCGGGACCATGACCTGAGCCAAAGGCAGACGCTTAACCAACTGAGCCACCCAGGCGCCCCAGCCTTCTTCCTTCTAATCTAACCTTGGCTGCACTTTGGAATTACCTGAGGTGGCTCCAATAATACGGATGCCTGGGCCCCACCCCCAAAGATTGTGAAGTCCTGATCTCAAGCATTGCAGCCACTCTTACTCTCCCAATCCTCCACCCCATCAGGATACATTTTCCTCCCTAACCAATCTGGACCCAATTGGTCAGACATCTCAAAAATTCTCTGTATTCCCCTGGTCTCTCTATTCTCTATTTTTTTCTGTTACTGTCACCTGCGAGGCCCAGCCAGGGAAACACTGTTTCTTATCTGTCCAGATTACTGAGATTTGGGAAACTACCATAAGCTACAGACTCTCAGCTGGACTTTCACTGCTGTTCCACAGTTCTTTTATTCAAATCTGATTACTTTCCACTAAATTCATTCAGTCTGAAAGTCAGCCAGTCGCCACAAAATTGAGTCCTATAGATTTTTTTTTTTTTTAAGATTTTATTTATTTATTTGACAGACAGCAAGAGCAGGAACACAAGCAGGGGGAGTGGGAGAGGGAGAAGCAGGCTTCCTGCTGAGCAGGGAGCCCGATGTGGGACTCGATCCCAGGACTCTGGGATCACGACCTGAGCCGAAGGCAGCCGCTTAACGACTGAGCCACCCAGGCACCCCTATAGATTATTTAAGCCCCTGAACCCAGATTCACTTACCAACTGGTTTCCCAGTAAGGCAGTGACCCAAGACAGGAGGGCAGGAGAAAGGGAGAAGTCAAGCTATTTCTCTCCCTCTGCTTTAGATTGGGTTGGGGCTCAGCCATTTCCCAATCCCCACAAGGCAGCCCTCCACCACTGAATGGCCCAGGCCTCTGGGTTTAGTAACACCATCTCCCAATGACCCTGTGGCACTAAGGGAGATAGAGGTTTCCTACTTTTCCAATCTCTGGGTTGCCCATACTTTCAGCACTTCCATCACCTGCATAACAATTCCCTATATTAAATTCTCTAGAGTGAAGCATTTTTCTGCCTGGACCCAACTGATACATGTCAGCCAAACCAAACTAGCTGATAGGGAGTGTTCAGTCACTGAATACATACTAAGTTCTATGCATGCCAGCCACTCTGCCAGATACAGTGAGTTTTTCCCCTTTTATGTCTTTGTTCATATGGTTAACTCCACCTAAAATATTCCTTGCTGCTTTCCCACCTAACAAAACACTGCTGACCCTTCAAGCTTATAAGAAGCCAGTATTCTGAGCATCCACTCTGTGCAAGGCACGCTGCTGGGGGTACATCCCAGGCATCACAAAACTGACAGTCTGTGTTTCTTCATGAAGTGTTTTATCAGATTTTCTCTACTGATGTGTACACTCTCGAAAGTCCCATTTGCTTTTTAAAAAAAAAAAAAAAAAACACTTGTATTTAACATCTATGTAGCACTTACTACTAGGCACTGTTCTAAGAACTTACAAATACAGCTGGTTTTTATGTAACTGTATGAAACATTATATTCATATATAACAATTTAGGTAACCTTAGGTAAACCTGTGAAGTAGGTGCTACTATTGTCCTCATTTTATAAGTGAAGAAATGGAGGCACAGAGAAGTTAAGGAACCTGCCTAAGGTACAGAGCTAGTAAGTGTAACTGTCACACTTTCATTTTAACCTTGCACTATGGCTATCTGCATACCTGTTTCCACATCACCAGCAAAAACTGCTGAACTTTTTCCCTTTCTTTACCAGTTACAGAACACATGATTTTTAGCTGGGAATGTGGCTTCCTGGGGAAAAAAAGATATGATTCTCACCTTCCCATGGGATGTAAATGAAAGCAGTATGGGCAACTTCTGGGACGTGTCCCTCAGAGAAGGGTGAGCTTGAAGTGGGGCTCTGTCCCTTTTTCTTCTCTGCACTAACTAGTATGTTGACCTGATGGCAGGGGAGGAGCAATCTTCTTGGAACATCAGGAAAAAAGCTGCATTTATAAGGTGAAAGAATAAAAAGGAGCCTGGATCTCTCATGATCAAGTAGTTGCCACTGCCTGAACTTTCACATGAGGAAGAACCCTCCACCTTGCCGAATCCATTGGTATTTTGAGCTTCCTGTCACTCCTACCAAAGCCAATCCTAATTAATGGGATCATCGATCCATGGCTCCCTGCCCCACACTAGGGTGAACTCTAAGAAAATGCACTCTATCTCTCTCACCTTTGTATTTCTTTCCAATGTGGTTCTTTGAACAAAGCTAGTACTCAAAAATATATATCCAATTGAGGACGAATGCGATTACAAAATATTTTTTTAAATGCTGATGCATGTAGAAAGCCCCAGATCAAGGAGGAAGCTGGAATGAAACCACTCTTGGCCTCTGGTACTCAGAGTCTGGAGCACAGGCAGCAATAAGATGGGCGTGCTCTCCACACCCTGGGGCAACCCCCTCTTTGTCAGTACCTTCCTGGAACCCTGGGGATGTGAGGCCGAGCTGTAAAAGAGCGCAAAGAAAATAGGTCTTCAAAATGGAACACCTTCAGTTCCCCCTTCACCTTCATGCTTTTATCCCTGCGTTCCTCCTGCCTCAGAAGAGCAGATGTTTTCCCATCATTCCTAGGCTAAGCTTTTCACCTTCCTCCCATAACATCTTTGCATCTTAATTTTCTCATCTGTAAAATGGGGATAATTATTACTTAGTAGGACTTGGGGAATAATTAAATGGCAAGGGATAAATAAATTTGTTGGCGTTTAGAAAAATGTTAGAGGTTCTTTTCCTCTTGATTCCCTTCTCTAGAGGCAACTTGCTTCATCAGTTTTTGGAGAGAATACTTTCTTCTAGTCTTCTTCCTACCTTTCTGGCTGCCTTTTCTTGGACTCTGGAAAAACTCCTTCTTTACCTATCCTTCAAATGTCTGTGCTCTGGGTTTTTCCCCGCACTACCTCCCTAGTTCCAGCCTCCATCATTTTCTTACCTAGGTAACTCCAACTGCCCTGAACTGGTCTCCCAGCTGCCAGGCCTGCACTCTGCCAGCCAGCCATCCACACTACAGCCAGAGCGGGGATAGAAGGCACACATCCAAGCACACTGCTTCCCACCTGAAAGCGATTCAGTGGTTTCCTACTGCCTTTTGGGTAAAGTCCACAGTCCTTAACATGTTGTACAAGACTTTCAGGACACGCTGCCTGCTGGAATCACTACAAAGAGAGATTTTGTTCCGTTTCTCCACATTTAACCGGGGGCGGGGGGGGGGGCTCCTAAAAAGTATACTTATGGCTGAGATCCAGTATATAGTAAAATGTAAGGAGTCAATAAATGCTGAATGCAATTCAGAAAATCTTCAGTGGATAAGCAGTATCAGAGTGATCTAGGAACAATTTTTTTTTCCCTTCATCATTAGTATTGGGTTTTGGTTTTTTTTAAACTTGACTTTTTTTTTTTTAAGATTTATTTATTTATTTATTTATTTGAGAGAGAGAGAATGAGAGACAGCATGAGAGGGAGGAGGGTCAGAGGGAGAAGCAGACTCCCTGCCGAGCAGGGAGCCCGATGTGGGACTCGATCCTATGACCCCAGGATCATGACCTGAGCCGAAGGCAGTCGCCCAACCAACTGAGCCACCCAGGCGCCCTAAACTTGACTTTTTCATTACAAGGATAAGATTGGCTTATTATGAAAAACTTCAAACATTACAATGAGATATAAAGTAAAAAAGGCCTTCCGTCCCTTCATATCACTGCTCCTCCTGCCCCAGCACTGTTAGCTGTATATGCTTCCAGAAAGTTTATATGCACACACAATCATAGTAATGCACGTTATTACTATTATTAGTAGTATTATTTAACACAAGTAGAATCATATTAAACATGCTCATTTTCATATCAGCTTTTTTCATATAATCTTGGATATTTTTCCATAGCAGTGTATATACATCTTTCTCATTTTTTAAAGGTCTGCATTGTATTCAATTATATGACTCTACTATACTTTCTTCAAAGTTAATTTTTTAATTTTTTAATTGAAGCATAGTTGGCATACATTAGTTTCAGGTGTACAACACAGTGATCGACAATTCTATACGTTACGCAGTGCTCACCATAAGTGTAGTTTCCACCTGTCACCATACAGAATTATTACAATATTGACAATATGCACTATGCTATACTTTTCATCCCTGTGACTTATTTTATAACTGAAGTTTGTACCTCTTAATTTCCTTTACCTATTTTGCCCATCTCCTACCCCCAGCAACCACCACTTTGTTCTCTGTATTTATGAGTCTGTTTGTTTGTTTTCAAACAGTTCATTATTGATAGAGATCTAGGTTATTTCTAGTTTGTGGCCATTCTAAATCTGCATTTATGGGAGATAAATGTGAATTTTTCTAAATACACAAAAATGCAAAGTATTAGAATACTAAAATAAATATACATCACAACCAAGTAGGATTCGCTTCAGAAATGCAAGAAGGGTTAAATATTAGAAAATCTGTTAATATATTGCATAGTATTAACAGATCAAAGGAAAAAACCTCCATAGATTACTGACAACTAGGGATAGTTTCTTAATGTGATAAAGTGTGTGTGTGTGTGTGTGTATGCATGCATGCGTGTGCACCAACCCCAAAAGCTAGCATCATGCTTAGTGGAGAAGCAGTCCTATAATGGTTAGAAACAGGACAGTTCAGTCTACTGTCACCATTATCACAAAAATTAACATTTTTCTAGAGATACTAGCAGATGCTATTACAAGAGAAATAATGAGACATAAGAATTAGAAAAAAGATAAAATTATAATTATTTGTGAATGATATATTACCAGAAAACACAACATACTTAACTGAAAAAACTACTTTTCCTTTTAAAAAACTGAGATAATTCACATAGCATAAAATTCATCCCTTTAAAAATGTGCACTGGGTTTTTGTATACGCAGAGTTGTGCCATTATCACCACTCATTCCAGAACACTTCTGTCACTCCCCCAAAATGCCATTAAATACCCACTTCACATTCCCCTTAGCCCCAGCACTTGGCAACAATTAACTTCTGTCTCAGTAGATTTGACTAGTTAGGATATTTTATATAAATGGAATCATACAGTATGTGGTCTTTTATGACTGGCTTCTTGGCATAATGTTTTCAAAGTTTATCCATGTTGCAACATGAATCAGTATTTTATTCCTTTTTATTGCTCAATAATAATATTCCATTGTATGGATATACCACATTTTGTTTATCCACTCATCAGCTGATGGGACATTTGGATTGTTTTTACTTTTTATTAAGAATAATGCTACTATGACTGTTGAATCTCAGATCTGTACCTCTGAAACAAATAATGCAATATATGTTAAGAAAAAAAAAAAGAAGAAGATAGCAAGAGGGGAAGAATGAAGGGGGGGAAATCGGAGGGGTAGATGAACCATGAGAGACGATGGACTCTGAAAAACAAACTGAGGGTTCTAGAAGGGAGGGGGGTGGGAGGATGGGTTAGCCTGGTGAAGGGTATTGAGGAGGGCACGTTCTGCATGGAGCACTGGGTGTTATGCACAAACAATGAATCATGGAACACTACATCTAAAACTAATGATGTATGGGGATTAACATAAAAAATTTTTTTAAAAAAATGTGAAAAAAAATGCTACTATGAACAATCATGTACAGATTTTTTTGTTAACATAAACATAGTTTTCACTTCTCTTGGGTATATACCTAGGCGTGAAATTGCTGGGTTATATAGTAACTCTGTATAAATTTTTGACTAATTGCCAAACTATTTTCCAAAGGGACTGTACCATTTTACATCCCCACTGGCAATGTATGAGGGTTCTAACTTCTCCACATCCTTGCCAACAATTGTTATTGTCTGTCTTTAAAAAAAAAAAAAAAAAGATTTTATTTATTTGAGAGAGGGGGAGGGAGCACATACAAAAGTTGGGGGGGAGGGAGGGAGCGGGGAGCTCAACCTGGGCTTTATCCCAGGACCCTGAGATCAGGACCTGAGCCGAAGGCAGATGCTTAACCAACTGAGCCACACAGGTGCCCCTGTCTGTCTTTTTTATTACAGCCATCCTTGTGGATGTGAAGTGGTATCCCATGGTTTAGAACTGAAAAATCTTTTTTTTTTTTTTAAGATTTTATTTATTTATTTGAGAGAGAGAATGAGATAGAGAGAGCATGAGAGGGGGGAGGGTCAGAGGGAGAAGCAGACTCCCCGCTGAGCAGGGAGCCCGATGCGGGACTCGATCCCAGGACTCCAGGATCATGACCTGAGCCGAAGGCAGTTGCTTAACTGAATGAGCCACTCAGGCACCCTGAAAAATCACTTTAATAGTAAAATAGTTCAATTAAGATGTCTGGATATAAATTTATTTTTTAAAATATCAAGTCTTCTTATATACAAACCATAATCGCTTAGAAAATATAATGGAAGAAAAGATCTCAACATAAAAGAAACTATCTAGGAATAAAGTTAACAAGATATATATAAAGAGAAAACTTTAACATACTTCTGAAGCACATAGAAAGACTGAATAAAAAAAGCATATGTGTTCTTCTTCCCCCCGCTGCTGCTCTTAAATAGGAAGATTCCACAGAGTTAGTTCAATTCTCCCTATATTAATCTATAAAATAACATGACTCCAACACAAATATCTCCTAAGATTAGAACCAGATTAGCTGTAACTAAGGCTCATGTGAAAAGACAATACAGAATTATGGTTTTACCCAAAGACCCAGGCATTCTGGCAAGCCGCTTATTAGCTATGTATTCCTGGACAAGATACTTAACCCCTCTGTCTCAGATGCCCCTTCCATGAAAGGGGATACTACCAACCTGGTAGGGTCGTCAGGAGGATTAAATGCCTTAAAATGCATAAATTACTTATAACAGTACCTGGTATATAACAAATGCTACATAAATGCTAGTTATTAACATTATGTGAGAAAAACAATTCAAGAATAGATGAGGAAAATTAAAAAAAAATACAAAAGTATATTCTGGATGAAATAAAGATTTAAGTACAAAAATAAAATCATATAAAGCACTAAAGTAAAACATGATGAAATTATTTAATAATCTGAGTGCAGTATAACCCCAAACCTGGAAGTCATAAAGGAAAAGACTGATAAATCCTAATATATGAATTTCTGTAAAGCAATGAAATACCACATATGAAATCAAAAGGCAAATATATGAAGAAAGAATAATTGTAACATATATTATAAACAAAGGACTGGTTTCCATAATATGTAAAGAACTCCTACAAACCAACAACATAATGACCAATTATACAGTAGAAAAATGAACTCAAGAAAAGATAAATCACAGAAATACAAATTAGTCTACATATGAAAAATGCTCAGCTTTCCCTCATAATAAAAGACATGACACTGCAACTAGAAACCATCTTTCACCATCTGATAACACATAGGCTGTGAGGAAAAGGGCACTCACACACTGCTGGTGAGAGTAAATAGGGCATAATGTCTGTGAGAGCAACATGGCAATATCTATCAAAGAATGCACAAACAAACCTTTGACCCAGCAATCCAACTTCCTAGGAATCTATCCTATAGATATATTTGCACTTGTATACACTAATGTAAGAATGAGCATGTTCACTGAAGCATTGTAAGAGGAAAATACGCCTAAATGTCCAACTATTGGGGACTGTGAAATCATTACAGTACATATATGCACCCTGGAACAAGGCAAGGCAGCTCCACCTATATTAATAAGTGAAAGAGGGCGCCTGCGTGGCTCAGTTGGTTAAGCGACTGCCTTCGGCTCAGGTCATGATCCTGGAGTCCCGGGATGGAGTCCTGGAATCGAGTCCCGCGTCGGGCTCCCTGCTCGGCGGGGAGTCTGCTTCTCCCTCTCCCACTCCCCGTTTGTGTTCCCTCTCTCGCTGTGTCTTTCTCTGTCAAATAAATAAATAAAATCTTTAAAAAATAAAAAGTGAAAGAGTAAGTATAGCATACTATCAATTGTGTGTCACCTATATCAACATAAACACAGAGACGATATATGTAAAAATGACATGAGCATAAGATAAATCTGAAAATATTTCCCAGAAACCATTTTCACTAATAGCTTACAGAGAGAACTGCAAGGCTAAGATATAGGAACAACAACGATGCTTACTTTTCTCTGTACCTTTGTTGACAATGTTGGATTTTGTATTTTTTGCAAGGAGTTTGTTAACAATGAATTTTGAAAATTCCGTTCATTCATTCATTGGTTCCCATTTAGTGAGGAGGAACCCTAATCTCATGCAAACCCCTGAGCTGTCAGGGGAAGAGTGACAAGATAGCAACCCCTGCCTGGAGGCGGGCAGAATGGACCTCGGACCTCTGCACTGGAGTCATGGGGGGGAGCAGCGGGCATTCTTATCAGAAACGCAGATTCCTGGGCCCCGTCCCGGATCGACTGAATCCGAGTTCCGCAGTGAGGCCCGGAAATCCGCATTTCTGACAGGATCCCACTGGGGATTCTGGGCTGGAAGGGCAGTCAGCCAGCACAGCGCAGGTCAGGGTGTAGGCGTCCCCAGCAGTCACGGTCGCGATCCGGGCAAGGGGGTGTCAGCCCTGGAGCGTGGGGGCAGCTCCTCGGCACACTTTGGGCCGAAACGGCGAGGCCTCGCTTGGCCGCCGCCCGGAGCCGTTCCTCGCAGTTCCCGGGTCAGGCTCCGCTGGGAGCTGGGCCCAGACCCTGAGCCACCGAGCTGAGGAAGCGGGGCGGGGCGGGGGGCGAGGGCACCCGCGCGAGCGGCCAGAGGTGGAACGGCCGCAGAAGCCGCAGGCAGAAGGAGAAAGGACAGAGGAGGAGAGGCAAGTTCAACCGTGTAGGAAAAAAAGAGGGAGGAGAGAAATGACGGGGTCAGAAAATAAATTACGGGGAGGGAAAAACTGCGACTCCGCCGGGACTCGAACCCGGAACCTTTGAATGCCTTCAGCCTCTAGAAGTCCAATGCGCTATCCATTGCGCCACGGAGCCACCTGTTGGAGTCCTCGCGCATCTGCTGTGTTAAGCCAGAGGCGACGGCCCCGCGCCCTTCCCACCGCCCCCTTAGCCGCTCTCCCGGCTTCCCGTCTGTGTCGCCGAGGCCAGGGCATGGTTAGCCTGGGCAGCAGCCACCGAACGCGAGCCGCAGGCGCCCGTGCTTCGCCGGCAGCCGCCTCACAAGGTCGACGAGTCCCGCGCGTCCGCCGGGCCCCGATCGGTCGGTCGATCGGTCTGAGGGCTGCCACAGCCCCGTCTCCGGCCGGCCCAGGACGCGGCCGCGTAGGACCAATCACACCCGCGCTCTTCCTCCCCGGTCCCTTCCTGCCCCGAGCGGCCCCCGCCTACCGGGTCTCTCCGGCGGCCGGTTACGCCCGGCCCGCGCCCGGGCCCGGGCCCCGGACCCGGCGATGCGGAACCAGGCAGGCCGTTGCGCCGTTTAGCCGGGCCGGTAACGCCGGGCACTTACGTCGCACCTTTTAGCGGCCGATCTCGAACGGCGGCCCCTCCCGGGTGCCGGACTCTTCCCTGGCGGGCCGCGGCGGCGTCTGTGTGCGTGCTTGTGCGTGTTTTATTTGCGCAGGGTTCAGTAAAACGGGGTTTGGGTTGCATTTCGCTCCCCACAGACCCAGAGCCGAATTTCTGAGGCATCCGGGCTCTGGTGGACTGAGGGGGGCGACGCGCCCCGCGCCGCAGCATCCTCTGAGAGCGCATCCAAGTGCCGGGAGCCGCCTCCGCGGCCGCCGTGCACCCGCCCCCAGCCCGCGCGCAGCGGAGTGGGCGGCCCCCGCGCGGGTGGCTGCGCGCGTGGGAGCGCCGGGAGCGTGCGTGTGCGGGAGCGTGCGGTTGGAGGGCGCGCGGCCGCGGGCGTTCCCGGGGGTGGCGGGCGGCGGCAGAGCCCGAGGCTCCTCGGAATGGCGCGGTCGCCAGGAATCAGGTGGGTGACGGGGTGGAGGGTGGGTTCTTCAGGGCCCCAGTCGTCCCCATCAGCACGGCCCCGAAGCCACTTGAAATAACAATCTAAGGAAATACTGCGTGGTTGCTATGCGACCGCTGCAGACAAAATCTCTGGCTTCCCGCTCCAGTCCGTTTGCGGCTTTCCGAGAGCCGCCCACGTAGAAATTGCGGCGCTACCGCGGTGCGCGCTCTTGCGGTCTGTCCACAGCCCACTTCTGCACCAAACCAGCGTCAGCCGCGGCCCACACCGTGGTGCACGCCATTCGTCCCTGCCGAGCATCGTCAGGCATCAAAGCAAAGTAGTCTCTGTCAGTGTTCTAAAGAGGGAAAGGGAGCTCCCAGGAAGAAC